CTTTGCTTTTCAGGCTTTTAGTTGGATGTTTCAACTTTGCTTTTCAGGCTTTTAGTTGGATGGTTCAACTTTGCTTTTCAGGCTTTTAGTTGGATGGTTCAACTTTGCTTTTTAGGTTTTTAGTTGGATGGTTCAACTTAGCTTATTAGGTTTTTAGTCAGCCTATTGGTTGGGTTTCCATTTAGCCCCCTAAAAGTTAAACGTTTGGCAGGGAATCTGAGGTCGGGCCAGTGATGTCAGCTGACTAAAAAAGGGTTGTATTTGATTCCCATCGACTGCCTGGTCTTTGTGTTTTTCAATATGCGCTTCAAAAGCGAGGTCCGTTGGCATCTTTTTGGTGCCCTTGGGAGTCGTGTGGTGAGTGGAAATACAGACTGGATTCCGAACTGTTTCAGTTGGGTAATATCATTTGCTTGCTGATGCTCAGCTGGGAATGACTGTTCCAGGTGTTGGGAATGGACCTAGGGGTCCCCTGAAAGCACACCATAAGGGATGGTTTTTCCTTGGGGTCATTCCATTTCTCATTCACTGCCTATCGAACCGGCAAGATTTACCAGTGCACTTTTCTTGTTTGTAGGCATGCGGCAATGGGATTCCCAACACCAAAAGAAGCTCCCGAGCTTTTTACGGCCCGGGGGTCTGATGAGTCGGTCGTACGCTCAGTATTCCAACCCAAAGCAAAGCGAGCTTCCCCCAGCAGAACGGTCCCTGTTGAGGTTCTCTTGGGATTTCGGGTTTGTGCACAGCTTGAGGCCTGACCTAATGTTGACCTTATGTTGAAAACAAGGCACGGACTTGTCAGTCAGGGGCGCTTTCAAAATCACGGCGTTTCTCACGGGTCAGCAGTGGAAGAAGTGAGGAGGAAGCAACCCGAAGCCAGGGTTTATCTTTCAACTTCCAGAGTGACACATTCCTGTTGTTCAGTGGCACCCGTGCAAGGTGCCCGCTAAAAAATTGGTCAAGCCTATTAAAACGAGCTCCCTTTCTCTACCAGGGTCACTGTGCGACTGGACGTCCTTCCGTGTTCCAGCTTCATTGTCAATTGTGAACAAGGGGAAACCTGTGTTTATAACCATATCCTGGTCCTCCTAAGGAAACCAAACGGAGAGTGGTTAACTCAGTGATCTACTTTAGTAAAGGTCCCAAAAGATGATCGATCAAATTTAATCGCAATTTGCCATAACAATAATCATACCAACGGTTATAATATGAACAACAATGCCAAGACTACTACTACTACTACTACTACTACTACCACGACGACTACTACCACTACTACTACTACTACTACCACCACCACCACGACTACGACTACTACTACTATTACTACTACTACTACTACTGCTGCTGCTGCTGCTGCTACTACTACTACTACTACTACTACTTTATTACTACCATTACTACTATTATTACCACTATCGCTACCGCAGACACCACCACTACCAACAACACCACCGACACCACCAACACCACCAACACCACCACTACTACCTCTACTGCCGCTTCTGCTTCCACTTCTACCACTAGTTGTAAAACAAATCTAGGAACAACTGCAAGCTAATACTACTACCACTACCGCTACTACCACCACTACTACCACTACCACTACCACTTCTTCTACCTCTACTTCTACTTCTGCTACCAACAATAATACTAACAATAATACTAACATAGGAACAACTGCAAGGTTGCGGAGGTTGGCTTACCATCCTGGCACCAGTGACCATCCCCTGAGGCATTGCCGGGACTTGGGCATGCACGTCTTGGCCCTGGATGACCTCTCCGGTGGCTTCATGTCCAACGTACCCGCGGGTGTCACCTTCATCCAAGGAGAGATGCGGGTCGTTTGCATCTTTGGAAGCTTCTAGAGTGGGGGGTTCTCAAAAGAAAAGAAGTCCGGGCCCCATGTTTCCTGCTTTTTTAGATTCTTTTTTTGGTTTTCCTAAAGGGGTGTGTCTTTTTCGAGGGCGGGGTGGCTTTTTGAACATGGGGTCAACATTACCATTGGGCAAAAAAGCTCGTTTGGGATCTGGCCATGGCCCCCCAACGCCCGAACCAAAAGGATGTTGGCCCCGAAAAGTGGCGCAAGATTCACTTTCGACTGTCTTGGAAGCTGAGAGCTCCGGCTGAAAGTACCATCCGTTCCTTGGTTTGTGTTTCGCTATGGGGGGCGCATCCTCCATAGCGAGCCTCAGGTTTCATCTTTTACTCACGCATCATGGGAACAGAACTCAATCTTTGCAAAGGCGTCTTATGTCAGTTTGGCTGAAGTAGACGGATTCTGGTTTCAATTGGTTAAAGACTCATTTACCGCTGGAGTCCATCCAGTGTTTGCTCCTATCCCCACTTGGGCACACCTTTTCTGAGGGAACCCGTTTTTGCTCCAAACAAACTCCTGCTCTACACTTCATCCGCGGGTGAAAAGGCGGATTTTTCTGTCAAGGCCATTTCCACTGCCAGACTTGACCCACCTTTGGCTTTTCCGCCCTCTTGGGTGTCCTTTGTGTTCCCCAGAGTCCTGGAGACTTGTGACCCGGGACCCGCTTAGGACTCGAAGCGCGCGGATGTTCTTTGGACTTGGGCTGTCGCAAAATGAGACCCCTCAGGTTCCGATGTTGGAAGAGGCCCATTGCAGCGCCAGACCGGACTTGGGATAAGGGGTCGACTTTGGCAAGTTGCACAGGAGACATCCGGGACGCAATCTTCTTGGACCAAATCTTCCAACAGCACCGGGCGCTCTTGGCACGAAATTAATGGATGGCCTGCGGCCTGGTTCCGCCGCCCCCATACATACACCCATGTGTTTATTCGTGGCTTGTGCTGTTGCAACCTAGCCGAGCTTGGCGGCTGCAGGAAGACGTCTAAGACCGCATGTGCGCGCCGTTAGAAACAGCAGAGCTTTGGTTGAGAGCTCTTGGGGCTCATGCTAGGTGCTGTTGCAACCCTTTACTGGAACAAACAGGCTTCTGTAACCACTGATTTAGGGAAACCAAAGGGGCTTGGGCGCGTAAGCCCGCGTAAGCAGGCGCGTAAGGTTTGCGTAAGCTCGCCTAGCTCGGCTGCCCGCTAGCCCTCGCGACGGATGCCGCTACCGCATAATATGTTTCTTGACCTAAGAACAACAACGCCAAGCCGCTGAAACTCGCGAGGGTAGCTCTTCGTCATCTTCCTCAGAGTCGCCCACGTCATTTTGAACAGTTCTGGCGGCTGCATGAGACAAGGAGCCCGCGTAAGCAATTCTTGAGGGGAAGCGCTCAAAACGCCGACGCGTAAGCGATGCGTAAGCTTAACATGCTCACTGACTGCCGCGTAAGCTAAAACATGGATCGCGTAAGGAAAGCGCAAGCTCGCGCGTAACTTGATACGACATAGGTATTCATGGGAGGTTTATAGAGTCGCTCATAGAATTTCGGCCCGGGGCGAGAGAAAGCACGTTTGCAGAGACCCGTTCGCGGACACGAAGACAGGCGCAGATACGTAGACAGACACAGACAGACACAAAGAGACGCAGACAGACACGCAGGGGGCGGGGGAGGGTCTTCGCGAACACGAAGACAGACGCAGATGCGTAGACAGACACAGACAGAGCCAGACAGACACAAAGAGACACAGACAGGGAGGTCTTGGCGGACACGAAGACAGACGCAGATACGTAGACAGACACAGACAGACACAAAGAGACGCAGACAGACATTCAGGGGGTCTTCGCGGACACGAAGACAGACGCAGATACGTAGACAGACATAGACACACACACAGACACACACAAAGAGACACAGACAAACACGCAAGGGGGGGCGAGGGTCTTTGCGGACACGAAGACAGACGCGGAGAAGTAGACACGGCGGGGGGGGGGGGGGCGGATTTAGCGCGTTTTGCGGCGAAAAACTCCTAACGCGCGTCGCTTGATCCCGAAACTAAGGAAGATTAGGGGAAGAAGCCGGAAGACTACGGAAGACTACGGGAAGAAGCCGGAAGACTACGGAACACGACAGCAAAGAAAATGTTCTTATCCTGGCCAAGCTGTAGAAATCACACCTTGCATTTCCGTGTTTGTACCTCTACCTCAATCCACCTTGCCCTCGCTTCCAGCCTCTTCAATCAGCTTCGCCAAGGAAAGCACGCCGCTCGTCACTTGCCCTGCACTTCCTGCAGCCTCGGCGAGCTGCTTCTGCGTGCGCCCGCGGTTACCCGCGAGAAGAAGTCTTGATTCGGTGTAGCGTGACAAAAAGGTTTGCGCTCCAAAATGTTACACGATCGGCCTTGTCGGCGTGCTCCTTCTCTGTCAATGCCTTCACCCGCTCAACGCATGGCGCTCCTTCCAGATCTTTGATGGTACCCATGAGGCAGGCTTCCGTCTTCAACCGATTCTGCTTTGATCTTGTACACGGTCTCCTGAACAACCAATTACCCAGCAGCATTACTCCTACCCCCCGCGTAAACCCAACCAATGATTCAAAAACGTTACTTTCGCAAGCCAAGTCAGGCTGGCCTCTCCTGTGGCACAAGCAGATGCCGCGCGCCCTCGTGATCTGCCCCAGAGCTAAGAGCATGGTCAACTTTCAAGTACGCCAAGATGGACGCCATGTGCCACAGCTGTACAGCATTCGCAACCACAGCTATCACACGAGCCAAACGTGTCGCCGCACAAGCAGCAAACTCGCCACCCGAAAAGCACAACTCACATAGTCCTGGCCAGCATTCATTCTTCTTGGCTGCATGCTTCACAAGAACCAAAAAAACAGCAATCTTGGCAGTGGGCGAGTCACTTTAAATGAATTCAGAACCCCTCACAGTAAACTGCTTGGGGAAAAGAGGAAAGCAAGTCCCGAAATGAATCCGCACCCCTTCCCGCCATCCTCTGGCGCATGCAGCTTTTGAACCCGATTCCGCGCAAGGGTCTTCCCCAACAGCGCCTCCAAGGCGAGTCGAAGCCGGAAGCGGGAAGCATGTCACGCGTGCCTGCAGTCAACAAGATATATTGGGCCAAGGCGTAGCGTCATGCTTGCATGCGTTTTTCACACCGCAAAGCGAAAGGATAAAGATGCTCGTTCTAGGGTGCGGGTTGCTGGGCGAAGTCCCACGACATTCACCAGCGCCACAGAATGATAGTCATCCTTCACCTTATGCCTGAGCTCCATCAATCCTCAATCAATCGTGGTTCAACAACAGTCAGCCCAACCCAGCATGAGTTTAAGGGCCTAGGAGCCGTGAACCAATAACCGATGCTCCACGCCCACCCTTTTTGTTTCTCAGACATTGGCCCAGGCACCTTTTCAAAGAGCAGCCTGTCTCATGGCACAGACAAGCGCAAACCTGGCAAATCGAAGGCCTGCGAAAGCAAGGCAGCAGCGTGACAACCATTACACGCACGTGACGCACGTGAGCCATGCATGCATTTCAAAAATTGCAAGGATGCCGTTCGCAGCAACAGGACTCATCGTAGTCCTGCAAGCAACTGCATCATCCATGCAGCATGGGCTCACTCATTGATGAATGGCTGAATGAGCACAGTCGCACTTTCCATCATTGAGCTAGGAGATGCCATGTTCTGTATCAACACCATAGTTCAATGCTGTTCCGTATAATTTCGCTTACGTGGATGACATGGGATGAAGCATGAGCCTTTTGGGATAATAAAGCTTGAGTACCTTCAACATTATTGTTCATGACTGGTGTGATTGGCAACACGTGTCTTCTTCCCATGACGTATTTTTAAAATGAATTTTGAGGTTGTGGTCCTTTTTTCAGTACAATAGGGTGTCGAGGCTCGGCGATTGACGGCAAGACGCGGAGGTCTCACTGACGACTGTGCCCTAGCGAGTCATTCATGGAGGCCTCTGGCCGGTTGGTGGGTTTGGCTTGAGCCGACGACCGGCGTAACCATGGTTGGTAAGCATGATCGGCGCGTGCGGTGGACGCGTACGGGGCTTTGCAGATTTTTTCCAAAATATTCTTCATGGTGAGCGCATGGAAGGCATGTTGCTTGGCAGGGCGCAATGGCCGGGCCGAGTGAGCCAGGCTACGGATGCTCACAGAAAGCTTGATCTTTCGTGAGGTCTCTTCACCGCTCGGAAAATCGTCAATTGCGAAGGTACCAACAATCTTGCCCAATGAGGTCCACAACCTTGGAAGACGCGGCAAGGCTCGCCGGATAAGCCGAAGTCGAAGCCGAGGGCCGTTTGCAAGTGGTCGTGTTTGTTTGTGGTGGTTTCATTTCTGCTTGCGTTGCTTGTGTATTTCTTGGACTTCGGGATGATGCATGCGTGCATCAAGAAGGTGGTCGGGTGGATTGGAGGAGTGGTGCCGTGTTGGGACGAGCCCATTGATGGTTTGACTCTGCTGATGTTGGTGATGATCGGTCCACGCTGGAGCATCAACCCACATCTCCGCCCATCAGTCATGCTGTTGTACGTAATGGCGGGCTACCTTGTGTCTGGGGCAAATGCTCAAGCTACGCATTTATTTCGTTGAGGAACCCTGATTTAAAGGCCCAAGCTTAAGGGCTTGCTGGATACGAGCTGCTGCTCTTGGCCATTGGTCGTTGTTCTTGGCAGCATCTTTCAAAAGAACTCACAAAACAGCATATCTGTGAATGGTCTCAGTGGATATCGCCGTGTCCGAGGGCTGCTGCTAGAATGCAAGATTCTCTTTCCCCTGATCCACAGTGAATCCATCTTGCACACGGCAACCCCTCAGCGACTGCTTGCCTTGCAGTTCCCTTCCGTGCCAAGTTGCACAGGTTGCCTCTAGAAGGGTCAGAACCATATCGCAAGTAGACCAACTGCAAGCCCTTACAAAAGTAGCCAGAGAAATGTTTCGGGGGAAGAAGGGGGAGTTACACCTCTTTTCGCACACACACACACAGACACACATTGAGAACTCTGCGGAATGGGTTTCTGGCGCTGCTCAAGGCTGATGTTTGCATTGTACAGATCTGGCTGTGAATCTACTGATGCAGGGCATGTGACGCAGACACGACGGCCAGAGGATATATTGCGCATTTTGTGTAAGGACAGCATAGAGTTCCTCGCATACTTGCTTTACGCAGCATCTCATGGAAGAAGGATCTTGGTTACCGCGCTCATGTCTCACAATGCTGGCTAATGCGATTACTCCCCTCTGAATCACGTGGAACACAAGAAAGGGGTGAGATTCCGTTCCGACGAATGGTTCTAGCCATCCCGGGTGAATCTGCAGATTAGCGCGGCCAAAACGTACCCGCGACCGCCGGAAGCGGGTCCCCGAACCCTCCAAAAAGCGTGGCAGGCGCAGCAGAAACGCACTTCCGAGCCCCCCGGCCCCCACCCCAGCTCCATGCTCCATACCTCAAATTGGCAAGCCCTTAGCCAGAAAAGCCAGCCTCGGATGCACCAGACAGCCAGCTCCAAGCAAACCTAACCCTACACCTGAACCCTTAAAACCCTAAAGTCAAACCCTAAAAGCCCCAAGCCTAAATCCTAAAAACCCTAAGCCTAAACCCTAAAAACCCTAAACCTAAACCCTAAGAACCCTAAACCTAAACCCTAAGAACCCTAAAACTAAACCCTAAGAACCCTAAACCCAAACCTTAAAACCCCTAATCCCCCAGCAGCGCGACTTGTTAATAGTCTAAACCCTAAAAAACCCGAAGCCAAAACCCCCAAACAACCCGAAACCCTAAAACCCAGAACCCTAAACCCCAAAAACCCCTGAACGCCGGATACGTCTATGGATGACACACCTGCCAGCACGATCATACAGCATAATAAGACCTTGTGGGCGACATGTATGTTTTGTGGGCATTGGTATGCATTGGTACTGTTTGGGAGGACAAGAGGACCCAATTGTCTCATACTTCAAAAAAACAAGAAAACCATCAGTCAGTTTTTTGTCTCCGCTGGGACCATGCGCCCAGAAAGTTGCATATCATGTTTGGTTGGCTGCGGTTAGTCAACAACGTGTCCCCGCAGAAGGGGAGACAAGTCGGTGAGGGAAGGCTTTCTTGATTGCAAGTGGCACAGGTTGAAACCAGAAGGAAAATCTTTCGGTCCCCTAAACAAGACACGCCCGAAAATATCGGCCCCGCTCGGTGTATCCAGTTGTCTTCCTGGAACTCTGCTATTGGGTTGGATCTTTAGACTGTAACTTTTTGGGAGGTCAAGGGGGTTTCAATTTCCCGCCCACAAAAAGTTTAAAAACAAAACATATATTTTTTGCAGAGCGGTCGTTGCAGCAACCAAGCTGTTGAAGCCTCAACGGAATCGGCCTGGCTGTGACTTCTTGAATCAGGTCTCTTCCCGCTTAGTGGGGTTTTGGTTGGCCTCGGCGTCTGGTGGGTTTCGGGGATACTCGCGGGCGGAGTTTCTCATAGTCCCTTGGCATTGAACTCAAGATTTTGAGGCGGTTTCCCTGAACTCAACAAGTGAGGGAATGTGGTTGGAACCTGGTGAAAAGTATGGCTAAGAAACGAGCTTCATGAGTGAGCCCATACCTCCAGGGCTCCTTCTTGGTTGTTGTTGGGAAACATTTTACATTTTGCTTGGGAAACATTGGACACATGTTTGCTTATTGCGGTTTAGTGGTTCAAATCCAACCACTTAACTGCTAAAATTTGAGAATTTTTGCTCCCCTTCCAACGTCAACCAAGAGAAGCGGCTCCCTTAACACCCAGTTGCAGGGTTTCCCGGCATGTAAGCTATGCATGGAGGTTCCTTAGCCTGGTTTGAGCAAGTTCTGTGGACTGAGGGGATGGATTTTTTGGAGAAACATTCCGGAAGCATCTTGCCCGCAAGGTGGACTTCGTGTACCACTTGGCGGCCTATGCGGCGGAAGGCGTCGCCCGACCTCGCCCGACCTCGCTCGAAGCTACCAAACTGGGTTTGCCGGTTGTAAGTGGTTTGAACGACCCAAATCTTGGTTCCCAGCCATCCGGTTCCTTAGGTTTTGGGGTTTAGTGGTGTTTAGTGGTAGTTTCCATTCAACCCTCTAAAAGTTAAACTTTTGACAGGGAATCTGACAACAGCCCAGCTATGTGGTTTGACCATCCAAGCGGACCCCTTTGGGTCTGCAAAAAATCGATCCCACTCAAACAATGCTTCGGCTTGGATAACCGCCATTGTTTGCCGTGGCATCCTCTAAATTCAGTTCATCCTTGTTTTTCACCCACGGGCGGCTTTGAGATGTTTTTTTTTGCATTTTCCTTGGCTTTTGTTTGAAGCAAGTTTTTTTTGTCCGCAGGCCTCTCCCATTTCATCCGCTCCTACAACTACCGAACCAACTTGGTTGGCTCGGCCTCCTGGCGCAACAAAATGATCGAAGGTGGTCTCGCTGGAGCCACAACTAGTTGGGGGGGTGCCCTGTGTTGGCGGTCTTAGGGAGAAACCTAAAGGAAAGCCGAAGCCTCTTTTCTTGAGGGGGGTTCTCCCCTCAGAAGCTTGCTGGCTCTCAGCAGGGAATGGGACATGGAATCACCCCCAAAACTTCATTCCCCACACCCGGAAGGTCATTCCCTCTCGCACCAGCAAGTGGTTGCCGAGCTCAGACTCGGGGACAGCGCACTTCCTTGGCCGTTTCGGCCATGCAGGTTCCCGGCTTCGGAATTCGCCTCCGTGCAATGTCTTTTTTGGGTGGTCTCGGTCCATTTTTGGGATCCCGAATTGGGATGATGGCCTTCAATTTTTGGGCTTGGACGCCCTTTGCGTCCAAGCCATTGGTGTCCTGAAGCTTGGTGTCTCAACCCGGAGAGCGGACCCCGCTGCTTGGTCTCCCTGGCCGCGTGACACACATCTCGAAGCCTGGGCTTCTGCGAGCTTCGCTTCGCTTCTCTAAGGGATGCGATCCCTTCAAGGGACGTTTCTGTGGACATGAACCCACTTTGGTAGAGAAAGGGTTTTCCACCACCCCGGAAAATGAGCTTCTCACATTTGGTAGAGAAAGGGTCTTTCACTCTGGACAGCGAGCTTCTCACATTTGGTACGTTGGTAGAGAGAGGGATTTCCACCCTGGAAAGGTTGGCTTCTTACATTTGGTCTGGTAGGCTGGAGCCTAGGTTGAGATCCTCAACCAGGCCATCAAGCACCGAGTGCAGTGCTTCGTCTTCACCTCGTCCATCGCGGTGTATGGCAGCATCAACGAGACTTGACGGCGTGGCTTCCTCGTTTCTTTGAACCCTTTCAGGTTGCTTTCAATGGAAACCACAAGGAAATCTAGGAAAGCTCTTCCCCCCTCCCCATATTTGGGGCATCACATGCCCGCCCCGTGCCAACTTTTTGTACGGATGCAGATTTCAACGGAACGCAGTGATGACCCTTTTTCCCCCGTGAACGAGTGCCCCCTCTTTATGGTGTTTACGGTTTACCATTAACAGAGTCGGTAGCTTAAAGGATGCATTTGAGCCAATTGAACATCAGCATTGCCGCCTGAAAACGAGGGTCCCCTCATAAAGCAGGTAGTTTCTGGATGTATCATTCAAGGAACACTGATTAGTCCATTTTTGCTTCCCTTGTAGACCAGCCAAATGGGACCCTTTTGTCATAGTGACTTCAAAGGCAGCCTTGCTTCCCCAGCCAAAACCTCACACTGACCACTCATTGAAGGGTGGGGTTAAGCTTTGCCCCTTATTCTGAGCCAAAACAGATGCCCCGTTCCTGGTGCGAGAATGCCTCACTTTGTCGAGAGTCACAACGTTTGACCCTTGTTTCATCCAGCACCTCGCCAACCGCAACTTTTTGGAGCGTACAAACTATGGACATGACAGTTGGAGGGGGGGTACTGTTAAGGGTCCGATTCGACTGTTTTTTTGGGGTGAAATGTTTTTTTTCTCCTTTTTTTTTCCGGGCCCCTAACAAAAAATCCTCTTCAGTACGTTCAACCGCCCAGCCACCTGTGAAGTTCGGTTGACACGTCCTTTTTGGGAAAGATATGGGGGACTCACAAAATATTTCCGCAACCAGCAAAAAGCCTACCTGGATCGGCAGTTGCGATCGCTTTTTTTTCCATCTACTTTAACCCAGAAACCAGCAACAGTGACTGAACAAAAAAGCAGCAACTTGGCTAGCTAGGTAAAAGATATGGGGGACTCACCATGTTTTTCCGCCACCCGCAAAAGTCCTAAAAGGGGTTCTACTGAACGGGTGCTTTTCGGAGCTGAGGACTTGTCACAGATGCAGAATCCCAAGCGCTACCTGAGCCGGCCAAAGAAAGGAGGCGCGGGCGAGCTCGGTCGAGCCGAGCGACTGGCGCGTGTTCTCACGTAAGCCCGGGTTCCGGGTGCCAGCTTTTGCCTCACCGGATCCGGTCCCCGGAGGGTTCACCCCTACAAAATAGACTACAGAACAAAGTTGGTACCAACTTCTTCTAACCTCTCAAGTTTGGAGGACCTAGTCACTTTTGAACCATGCAAAAAGAATCCCAAGTCCAAAAAGCAGGTTGAGGGGGTGCTGGTACAGTGTTTTTTTTTCAACAGCAGGGTGCACCAAGCTGGAAGCATTTAAGGTTCCTTTGTTTTAACCATTTTCACCAATGTTGGTGCCAAGTTCTTAGGGAACCGCCGCGAATTGATTCGCGGTGGTTACCCTATGAGGAATCGGTTCATTTCAAAGCAATCAAGTTTGATTGGCATGTGGTCCTCCGGTTTGTTGGGAAGAAAACAGTTGATAAGATCAGGAAGGTCCGGGAACAAAACTAATTGTATCCCCCCCCCCCCTCCCAAAGTGCAAACGTCACAGAAGTCTGGCCTGAAGGAGTGAGTGCCTTCCTTCAATCGTTGGAGCCGCTTCTGGATGTTCAAGCCTTTTTTCCCAAGGGTTGGAAAACTCATGGAGTTCCCGGGCGGACCAAGTCAGTTTTGGCCAGTCTCAGGGAAAAAATGAGGAGACTCGGCTTATGAGATGAAGGGTAGCAAGCGGTGTTTTGAATGGGGAAGCTTGTGGTTGCTTCAGGTTTGCTTCGGGGTTTCTTGTCTCAGTTGTTCGGTGGCGCCAATTCTTATTTTTTCCTCTTTTTTTGTGTGTGGCTTTTTCCCACTAAAGATCCGGTCTTCCCCCAAAATAGGGTTCCCGTCTTTTTCCAGGGTCACTGAACGACTGCGTTGTGGCTCCTGCGGGTGTCTTAGGCCTCGCTCGAGTTTTTCGCTCCTTCGCTCGCAAACTCGCGAGCGGGTCCCCTGAGCCTGGAGCTTCAAGGCAGAAGCAAGCCACGGCAGAAGCCACCCGGATCGATCGATCCAGCGGCGATCGATCGCCTTCTTTTTTCTTCTGCGATCGCGCGTTTCGCCCCAAAAGCCAGCAGCGACTGGAAAAAAGGAGAAAAACGCAACTTGGCCATCTAGGAAGTGGGTTCAACCATCCCCTTGGTTGTTTTGGGGACTTGCGAACTGGATTTGGGTGATAGCTCCCTGGTACTAGCTGGGTTCCAAACCACAGAAGGGGGGAAGCTGAAAGTCGGAATCCTTCCTTGTCCTCCCCGGTTCCCGTGGCAACAGGCCACAGCATTGGACCGGTGGCTGAAAATGGGATGTGGGACCTCCTCTTGGGGTTCAAGGGAAACCAAGAGGAAGCCAAAAGCATTTGTTGGGACTCCATTTTGAGAACACCCTAGCAAAAAGCTTGGGTCTTCAAACAGTTTTGTTGATATCCTATTCCTGGGCAAATTACTTGACCGAATCGCTGAGCTTTTTCCACTAAGTGGAAAACAGTTACCCTTGGTTATTTGGGGGGCCAGGAATATGGATCAACCCCCACCGAACCGCTGAGCTGCGTACAATTTGCCCAGACCCATTCAAACATAGCGTCGTTGCTGTTTGATTCATATGTATCATTGCTCCGCACCAGAACAGGATGATTCCTAGTTCAAGCATGGGTACTCAGGAGTGCCTTCGTGGTTTGGCCATGAAGGCCATGTTTGCTTTCCCTGATGACGGGCCACATGTTGCCAAGTAGAGGATCCATGAGGGACATGGGACCCTGCCATAGCTTTTTGCTGCAGTTCACCTGGAGCAAAGCGGGCTGAAATGGCGCGGCTCTTGATATGAGTTCGCAAGTCCCACCCGAGGCACAAAAAGCACGTGGATGGTTTGGCATTTAGGTGACGGGGAACTCGGTGTTTGCTCTGTGCATCCCCCCAAGACGCTTACTTGACTGGAAGCCTTCCTTTTTTCCATACCTCTTCGATAAGGGGTCGGGGGGGGTTGTTGTTCTGGGGGGGGGGGTTGAACAACAAGTGGGTGGGGGGGAGTTGTTGTTTGAGGAAGGGGGGGCTCGAACAACAGGTGGGGGGGGATTCTATCAGCACCCCTCAAAGATTCAACGACTGCCTGTTGGACAGCTTGCAAGAGGGTTGGGACTTGACAAGGTAGCCCTTGTGGCGGTTTCTCCCAGTGTTTTGGGCTGTCAAATATTCGCGGTTCATCTCTCCTCCTTTTCGGCATCCTTTGCTCTTCCATTTGCTCAAGAATGTATTTTTGTTATCCCCCCCCCCCGCCCGGGAAAAAACACAACAAAAAGGCGTTGTTTCCCCCCTTTTGGGGTGCCCCAACTTGACTCGCCGCGCCCGGTTTTTTTTTTATTCTTCTTTTTTCCTCCGTTTTTCTGGAGGCTTGCGGGAGGAGGACCGGCCGAGCCCGGAGGACCCCTACGGCATCGCCAAGTTTGCCTTCGAGCTGGACCTCCAGGCCCCCGGAACGAAGGAAGGAACATAGGTGCCCTTTTTGGTTGTTTTGGTTGAAAAATAGATGGCCCTGGTTTACCTGGTGGGTGAATCATCTGCCAGGGCCATCGATTTGCCCCAAAAGGCCACCTATGGGAAGGAAACTCCGAGAATCCTTGGTGGTTTTAGGTGGTTTAGTGGGGCTTGTTGGGAAGCTCTTCATGTTCTTGGTGGCCCTGGGTCAGAGGGACCGGTAAGGCACGTACCCCTAAAAAAAACAAACCTCAGCCCTCAAACTACTCTTTAAGAAGGGAATTCACCCCATAACACCATTTTAAGTTGGTATTTTGAGGGTCCAGGTACCCATGCGAGTCTTTCTTTTCCATGGGTTTCCTTCTACCAGCGTCTCATGACCTCACCAGGCTGCCCACGAGCTCTTCGGCATCCACTTTGTGATCTTCAGGCGACACAAAACCTTTGCATTTTGCTGATCGTTTCCCAAAATATAAGAACAAATAAAATGTTTGGATTCGTGTTGACCCCTACGGCTTTAAAGTTCCACTGTCGCGCAGGAAAAGTCCCATGAACCCATGAGTAACCAGTAACAGGTTCTGATCGTTTCCTCGTTCCCCTGGGGCTGGCTTCGATGGCTCCCCTACCACTGGGTACTGGGTGTGAAAATCAAGCCAGAGCCAGAAGGCATGTGTTGGGCCTGGTAGGCTTTGCATGTTGGCCACGGGATGTTAGGACTTTAAAGACTTTTTGCCAACTAAAACTTTTGCCCTTTTTTGGCGGAGGGTTTCCCTACTAACATATACAGGAAAGAGGGTACCCTTATTTTACCCTCTCTACTGGCGGACTAGAAATGGTTTTCCGTTAAACCACTGAAAGTTATTCACTTTTAGCAGGGGAGCGGTTCGCAACCGAGAAACTCAGCCACGGGATTCTGCAAAGCTTCTTGCAATCGGTCCCGGAAAATATATGTTTGTTTCTTTTGAACCGCTCCCTGAAAAAGCCCATCCCCGATTTGATGGGCTATTCTGCTTGTTTCTTTGCGGGGATATTGTGTTTGTTTCTTTGAAGGGCTCTCCTGTCAGGAACGTGGTCCAAGCCCAACCAGTGACTAATTAAACCTGGTGCGGTAGGTAGGGAGTGTCCTTTCAGGTTTCAGTTTTGGTGCAACTAGGGATGGGGTTGATTCCACTGGTCTGAGTTGTTTTTGTTCAAGATGCAACCTCAACTTATCGTTTCCTCCAAACGGGATCAGGTGCCTTGGCTGGTTTGCTTCTCCATGTTGGTTCTTTTTGGAGGAATCTGTTGGTACTCTTTTCACACCCTACAGGGGTGGATCAACAGCATCCACATCCAAGCCGTTTTCTATCGCTTGCAGATTCCAACTCCTGCCCCAGGCCTCACAACGTCTACGGGCCGCATCAGGTCGGTGCCTTCCGAGTGTTCCACAGTTTTGGTTTCTTCATCATTTCGCTACCCAGACGCTCCCGATTGACTTTGGGCCCTCAAACATCCAGGTTTTGAGACCCCAAAACCCCTCTGGGGTGTCCAATGGAGGGTCTGGGTCTTCCATTCAAAGCCCCAGGAGCGTCTGGGTACACTCCCTGAATAGACTTTGGTCGTTTCGCTACACCAGGACTCCCAAATTCCCTATCCGCCCCACCGTCCCTGCGGCTTTTGTCCGCCCCGAAAGCGGGGCGCCAGGCCAATTCGAAGGGTTCAGAAGTTGCGCCACGTTTTGCGAGAGAGATCCATGTGCGTCCAACACGTTCTGTGTACATGTTTTTTCACCTGGCGGTTCCCTGTCCGGTTCCTTAGGTTTTTAGGTTCGGGGTGTCCATTTCACGGACTAAAAGTTAGACATTTAGCAGGGGATCTGAGGACGACCCAGTTTAGTAGGAGTCGCGTGATGATCTGCGTGTAAGCAACAACTTCACGCGCCTATGGTGGCGTGAGCTGGTGGCGTAACAAGAACCTCCACATGTGTCGCGTAAGCAACAACTGCACGCACGTAAGGTGGCGTAAGCTGGTGGCGTAAGCTGGTGGCGCAAGCTGGTGGCGGAAGTACGACATAGCAAAGGAATGGCGCACATCGTGCTTTGTTGGAGTTGGTGCCAACCCTTTCGGTTGTTTCCTTCGGGAAATCACAAGGAAGCCAAGCCTTTTTTGGGTCCCTAAGAAAAGACACATCCCTTCGATGCAAACTGCTATGGGGCCCTCCAATGGAGCACCCCCGCCCCCTCCACAAGCACTCCCATGAACCATTTCGGAGGACCTCAAAGGTACTTGCAAGCGAGTTTACAAAACATGATCTATGGGGAGGTCGCCACGCCTTTCTGGGATCCGTTTCCAGTTTTGGACCGCAAGAGGCCCCCATTTCAAGATTTGGGGGCCCAAACGAGGGCAAGCTTTTCACAGCACTCCAGAACATGTTCGACAAGTACCGCAATGTCGTGGGCATCTTCATCAACCAGATCTTTCATGGACAGCCTTTGACGCTTGTGCTGAATCCAGCGCAAGCAACATGAGCCATACACCCCAAACCTGGTCGGTTTGTCTGTTGGTTCCCTTTTTTGGTGTTTGTTTGTTTGCAAAACACAGTTCGAATGGAACAGCTGCGTGTGTGTGTGGGCTCATATATTCGGTACCGCTTGATCCTTCAAAAAGCTTTAGTGGACAGGCCCCACCATAAATGGGTGTCCTTTTTGTCGACGGTACCCTTTTTGGGGTTGGTTTACAGGCAAACCAACAGGTAAAACATCATGTTTGTGGGTTCCCCCAAAAAGGACACACCCAGATAGATGCACACATCCCCGTTGCTTGTGGCGTGTAGGGTTCCTTTACCGGTTTTGACTGCGATAGGCACGAGACAGAGGCGGCTAGCCTGGACATCGCTGCAATGTCATCCATGTGGGTTCCTGTGAAAGCCACCCGTTCGGCTCCGATTTGAAGACAACCCACGTGCACACTTCGTCCGAGCTGCGTGTTTACAACTCCTTTTCAAGCATGCGTGCGTGCTTGGTGCGCTATGGGTGACCACTCCGATGTGTATAGAATGTGTGCATTGCGAGTTCAGAGAGAGAGAGAGAGAGAGAGAGAGAGAGGGAGGGAGAGAGAGAGAGAGAGAAGGACAGAGAGCGAGAGAGAGCGCAAAACGAAGAGTGCACAGTGACCAAGATGGCACGCATGGATTGGCGGTAGCTTCAGAATTCGGGCACAAGGGGCTAAACAACTTCACTCAGCCCACAATCCCACTCTTTAGGCCTTTTTATTACCTCAGTGATGTTTGCAGGTGCTTTAGGTTGCTTGAGGGCAGGGTTCTGGCTGGAGTTCAGCCAGAGCGAGGCTCGGATTGTTGGGCAGGATCGTGGATGATGTTTGGCGGAATTAGGGCGGGATTTCGTGCGACTTCTCGCGGGCTTTCGGTCGCCTCGCGGTGTTTGTTCGCCAAGCTTGGCGCTAGCTTTGCAGTTGGGTTTGCTAGTTGATAGGTTGGCATCTTTTGACGGGGGTTGGCTGGTTTTGGCTGGTTGCCCCAAGACCAACTAAGACATCACCAGCTTCAAAATACTTCAGGGCAAAACCAATAGCTGCGAAGCTGACCCAACCCCGGAGAAAAAGCGAACCGCTGGATTCAGCGAAACGTCATCCCTGCACCAACCCTAAAGTGCCAATCCCACTCGGAATGAACTTCTAGCCAGCCAGAGCTCTGCTCTACCTTCGCAAACTCGAGAAAGCTGCGAAGTAGCCCCAGACTTGGCGAAGAAGCGCCCTACAGGTCCACACGCCCAATCCCCAAATCCACAAACAAAGCCAGCTTAGACCGACCCCAACCAACCCCAAACCAAGACGGTACTGCCAGCACAAGCCTCAGCCATTAAAAAAACACACCAAAAACCATCACGGAGCTTCACTCCGAATGCAGAGCCTGGCTTTCTGCTTTCTTTCTTCCTTGTTTATGTTTCTTCCTTTCCAGATCCAGTTGCCCGTGCAGCCGACAGGGGAAGGCTGTGCAAAACCTAGAGCCTGGAGGGCATCCTGGTTTGCACCTGCAGTACGTGGATCCTTGGAGTTTCTCACTTGCTGTCCATCAGGGCTCAAACTTGCTTTAGGGGGGAGCGATTCCCCTTTAAAACGTGGGTAAAAACCAATGGTACCATTTTGGGGTAGGTGCACCACCAGTTTTAGTCTATATACTTTAGTGGTTGGATTGGGATGTTCACTGGGGGCTAACCGATTTGGGTTTTGACCCATGGCCATTTGGTTAATTTTTGAGAAGGTCTTCCCGCATCATTGTCGCACTCTTCATTGGAAAGCGAGCTCCAGCGGACCCTTCATGCAAAGAGGGTTTCAAAAATGGGTCTTTCTTAGGTGCCCCCAAAATGGCATCGGTTTTCCGCTTTCCTTCAAAACCATTCAAGACCAGGGGGTACTACCTACCACCTCCAAATGTAAAGCCAGCCCCACATGGACCCAAAAAAATCCGCAGGCCGGCTCTCTCCGAACAAAACCCGACACCCGAGGACCATCTTCGGGAGCGGCGAGCAGGTGCGCGCCTTTAGCTACATCGACGACGTGGCGCCCATCATCGCCAGGGGGCCTTTGGTGCCCAGAGCGCGGAATCAGATCTTCAACGTGGGCGCCGACATGCCCCACACAGCGCCTGGTTTTGTTGGGTAGGAAGAGCACGAAAATGACGATGAAATCAGGGTAGCGGGGAAAGTGAAAAGGAGGTGGCTTTTGTGTGTGTGTTGGTATTTTGCTACGGTTGCCCAGTTTCTGTGGATTCCAGCCTCATGGGCAGGTCGGCCCACCCTTTGGACCCAGAAATGCTAGGGTCGAGCAAACGGCCATGGCACCTGTGTATATCCCCTTTCCGGCTTTTTGTTTGAAGGGGCCAGACATTTGGCACCTGTTTACCCGTGCATCCCCTTTTCGGCTTTTGGTTTCGGCCAAAGCCCAACGAGTTGGTGTTTGAACATGGGGCTTTTGAAGGTCCCAGGAGCTCCCCGCGGCAAAAAAAGAAGGAAGACCCTTCAGGAACGCCAAGAAAAAGGGGGAAAGGCCCAAAGAGATGGTCCTCAAATTCTGTTTCATTTTCGGGGTAGCTTAAAATCTGGAGAGTAAGGGAAAGAACATGAAAGAATATTGTTTCTTTTTGGGGTGGGTTAAAATCTGGAGAGTGAGGGAAAGAAAGATGAACTTTCACTTGGCCCGGGTGCCTGCTATGCCTGCTATGCCTGCTATGCCTGCTATGCCTGCTATGCCTGCTTTCGGCTTCATTGTTTGAATGCAAGAACGTCGGCTCGAGAATGCTTTGGTCCGGTTCGAATGGCTAGCATTTGTTGCTACAGGACAAGATTCTTGTGAGTCTTCCTCTGCGATTCAGAAAAATGACTCGATGTGGTCTTTGTTGCATTTTGCCCAGGGATGTTCGGACTTTAACAACTTTTTGCCAACTAATGAATTTTCCAGTTAAACTTTTAGCAGGGGAGCAGAAATTATGAAAGCAAGGAGCATCCAGTTCCTGTAGTGGCAGAACCTGGTGAAAATCGTGGTTCCCTATTACAGTGGTTACTGGATGGCTGGATCCTGTGGCTGGGTCATGGCAATATTCTAGGGGTTGATTCCCTTTCCATTCTTTTCAAGCATCGTCTTTTTCAACAACCGGATCCGTTTTCCCTGGGTTTCCGGAGGTTTTCTAGAAAGATTCGGATCCCTGGAAAGAATGGGGAAGGTACACCTAGAAATATGAGCACGATGCGTGCATTCTGCGAAGCCTCAAACGCAAACGAGGCTACATGTCGAGTATACTCTTGAGGTGTACGTGCAGTTCTCACAGGTTGTCTGATCGTTCGTGCATCGCTAACCAACAACATCGGACCATGTACAGAGAATTTGGCATGAAGGGTGTCCATCATGTTGTGTGTGAGCACATGTGCATGCCGTCTCTGTGTCACAACACTGTGTCGCAAAGTCCCTGCACATTGGGGGGGACGAGTGTCGGAGCCATGATTTACCCTGCCTCCCACGAACATGGCACCTGACAAGGGGTCCCTCCAAGACGAAACTGATCTTCCAGGTACCCACAGGTGCCGTGTTAGTGGGAAGAAGGGTGTAGACGGTATAGACAGTGGCCAATTCGATCCTTTTACCCCACATATGCCGTGTTTTGTTTTCTTTCTCTTTGTTTTTGTGGGGGGGGGAAGAAGGGCGAGACCGCGCCATTCCTAGCCCAAGAGGTAGCTCCAGTTTTTTGCTGGTCTCCTATTTCTGGACTGTGGTCATTTTGGCTATTTCTGGGAGTCAGTCAGAAACCGGTTGGCGGTTTCCCTTTCACCCACCACTTTCGGGGTGACTGGCGGTAAAGAATGGGCCCAGTGGAGCAATGCGTAAGGGCTGAGGTGAAAAGGAATCTCTCGGGTTCCGGACACCATTTCGCTCCAAAGGCATGGTTGTTGTTGGGAAGCATTTGAAACATTTTTGCTTATTGTGGTTTAGTGGTTGAAATCCAACCACTTAACTTCCTTCCAACGTCAACCAAGAAGGGAGCCTCTCAAAGTGGTACTTTTTTCATGGAGACCACCCTTTTCTGTCTCTGGAAACACACACGCACACACACAGACATAACATTGCCATAGCAAACCATGGGTGTGTCTTTCTTACAAGGACTTTCCTGCAACAAAAATGGTTTGCCTTTGGGCGTTCCTCTCTAACCACCAAACAACGGGGTACCAACTCTAAAAAACCGACGAGCCACCCATGTAAAGTCTAGAGGTAGAGTTCCTGGTTGCCTGCTATAGTGGTGACTGGATCCTGGAATCAAAAAGGCATGCTTGGTTTGCCCTTGTTTCGGTGTTGTTGTTAAGTCAGGGAACCTAAAAGTAACAGGTGATTGTCTTTTTGTTTCTCTGTAAACGTCCCAAAAGTGTACCCTCGTAAGTTGCAAAATTCCACGTGCCAAACTGTGCACCTATGGTGGGAACTAAATATTGTGGGAAGCAAATGCGTGTGTCCTTTTGCGAGACCACCCACATTTGCACAAGCCCAAAACAGACCTCCAAGACTGGCTGGGTTTTCCAGTTGGGTTCCCTTCAAATCCAGGCGTTTCACGGGTACGTCAAGACCGTCCCTGAGTTCCTGGACTTTGGTCACTTTTTGGGTTTGGACCATTTTGGTGGTCAACACACAGTTTGGACTTTTTGCGGGCCATCCCAAGTGAGGTGTGTGCTGGTTTTACTGGGACACCAAAGGAAAGCCAGCTATTTTTTAAAGGGGATATTTTTTGGGTGAAGCCCTGGTTAATTACTGTTTTTGGCCCATCAGCTCAGGAAGTTTGGACCATATTGGTATCAAATTAAATATGAGCTGAGCAATATTGTATTCATCAACCAGTTTGGACCAATATTTAACTCAAAACTTGGGTGACATTTTTGTTGGCTCAGCGCAAGCGAGAGACACGCCGAGAGTCATCCGAGCCCGCATCTCAGGTCAACGAGCTTGCCGCGGCCGTGGCGGAAGCGGCGGAGTCGGCCGGCCATGCCCGGGACTGGCAGCCAGCGAGGCGGCCGGAGAAGAAGGATCCGCTGGAGGGAATTGGGGTGTGGGTCAAAACCGTTTTGGGATCCTATTTTGGTTGGTAGGTGAATTCACCACCCATTCTAGAACTTTTTTTAGTGGTTGGATTCACAATACCACCCATTTTAATTCACCACCCATTGGGATGTTCACAATACCTGGCCGGCGACTGGAGCGAAAGCCGACAGAGGGACCGGTAAGGCACAAGTTGCCCAGTCATGGTTGTTGTTGGGAAACATTTGACACACTTTTGCTTATTGTGGTTTAGTGGTTGAAATCCCCACTGAACTGATTGTGTTTTTTTTGCTCCCCTTCCAACGTCAACCAAGCAGTCCGGTGGGGGTAGTCCAATGGTGGCTCCCTAGGGAAGCCTCTCTGAGCCAAGGTTGAGTTCTTGCGTTAAATGTGACCTGAGGGGAACTCTAGGGAACCCCGCCCGAGTTTAAGGGGCAGGCTTTTCTGTAAGACCTTCTTCGATTCTATCAATCTCTAATTTTGAGGGTTCGGGAGCCTTGAGCTCTTTGCCTATTCTGGTAATTTGTCTCGTTGAACATATAGGCACGCCCTGAAGGATGTTTTGATTGCCGGGAGCTCGTCAAAAAATAAGCCTGGGAGACCGTATTTCTCCAAGGGCCTTCGCCCTTGAAACAAATCCAACCAAACGCAAGCCTTGCCGCTAGGGGCTGGGCATGTCCACTCTGGAGGGTTCACTCCGAAGAGTGCCATGTTTACGCGGCGGTTCACAGCCATACCCTTGGAGAGTTTAGAAGAAGTCATAGCTTATCCACAAAGAATTTAGCTTTTAGGCAAGGGATTAACGAACCACTTTACAAGGACAGGGAGGGGACTCCGAATCAGATTGGAGATTGCATTCCAAAGATTACGGTGTGTGTCATTCGTCGAAATGGGTTTGTCAACCACAATTGGTCTCCGAAATGGTCGGTTTAGTATGCCCTCGAAACGTAACCTGACACGAATCCAAAATATGGCTCATCCTTTTTGAGGGAACCTCCAAAAAATGTTCCTCTGACAAATATAAGAGGCTAGATGACGACGAATGGTTTTCTCCCGCACTCAAGACTGAATTGCGTGTTAAAAGCAGCCAACGCCCCAAAAGCCTGGGCTGATAGGCAATCCGCAAGATCCTTACCTTAGGCAAGGAACCGGTCCCGCGGAGTATATTGGCCAACACGAACCATGTTGAACAGCCCATACTATGACCATATCCCGGGTGGGGAGCCTGGGGGATCTATACAGCCAGCGCAGGTTGGAGGTGGAGGTTGCCGTGTCCAACCACGACAAAGCGCCTGGCTCAGTCAGTTGCCAGTCTCCCACCAAGACTGTGTCGCATTTTGCCAACGGATGTCAGGACTTTAACGTTTTGCCAACGAATGGGTTTGCCATTACACCACTAAAGGTTAAGCTGTTAGCAGACGAGCAGAAAGCAACCGAGAAAAGATCTGCAACGAATGAAATCGGGCGGGTGGTGAATGGGTATTCCGGGCTTGGGCCAACCAATCCGTTCAGCTTCCCTCACGCCCCAAGCTGCAAGGAGCCTTGAAGAGTGTGAAGCGGACCTCCATTTAGAAGGTGTGGGTTTGCCTCAAACTTCTTTTCGAGGACCCGTTGGATGCTTAGGGCAATGAAAGGAGACCAGTGTCTGGCTGCTTCAACGTGCAACCGAAAGGGGACTCACTTCCTGAGGGGATGCACCACAAAAGTGTCCAGACTTGTTGTTTACCACAAAGACGGTCCAAACCCAAAAAAGTTCACTCGGGAAGGAGTCACAACCAGAGGTGCAATCAGATTCTACTGCCTCAAGGTAAATCTGACTGTTGCTCGCACAGGAAAAGGAGAAGTTGGAGATGTTCGAGCCCAAAAGGAGGCCCAGCGATAACAATAAAGCAAAAAACATGGTTGCTTCCGCAGTCTTCTCAGGAGCCATTTGGTAGGTTTTCTTCAGGGCTCAATCTTTGCGGTTCCTTCACTGTGCCGATTCCGAGGTCAAAGAGTACTTTGAGGTGAACTCCTCTATCAGCCTGAAAGAAGGGTTGCAGAGGACCTGGCTATGGGAGGGTGTTCTGGGCAACTGGGAAAGCAAGCTGCGACGGGAATGCCCTCCAAATACCCCTTGAGACTTTGTTGCATTTTGCTTCGATGTTAGGACTTTAATTGTTTTTTGCCAACTAATGGGTTTCCATTAGACCACTAAGAATTAAACTTTTGGCAGGGAGCAGATTTCCAGGTTTGCCCGTCCTCCATAGTGAGTAAACGGCAAAGAAAGGCCATCCTGAGAGTCTCGATTGGTTAAGGGCCCTCCAAACTGCTTGTTTTTCAAGGCCCCTTTGAGGAATTGGTCGCTATGGGTTTTCCATTGGAGGGCCCATTGGGCCGGGGTGTGCATTGGAGGGGTGACCCTTGGGGCAGTGGAAAAGAGAGTCGAAAACGTGTACACCCTGGCTTTTGACTTTGGATGCATTTCCGTCCGACAGCTCGGCTTGGTGAAGCTTTGCCGGGCAGAACCGTTCAAAGGACTCAACTGATCCTCTCATATTCAGATCAGCGTGATTTCGTGTCGGGGAAATAGCCCATCTTGGGCCTCAAAAACCGTTATTTGAGGTCCAAAACCTTCCAATGAAGGTGTTGAGTCCTTGGAGGCTCCAATGAGGCTTAGCATTAATCACACAACTGATGCATACGTATGGATACCTGCTCCAAGGCTTCACTCAGATGAGCTTGTTCAAGGCCCCCAAAAAGGACGGACAACAAGAAGAAGAAGCAGAAGAAGACAATTAGACAGAACAATTAGACGAAGAACAATTAGACGAAGAACAAGAAGACAAAGAAGAAGACAAGAAGAAGAAAAAGAAGAAGAGAAAGAAGAAGAAGAAGAAGAAGAAGAAGGAGTTTTGAGAGGGTCACGTTCAGGTTGTTTTTTGAGGCGCACACGCACACGCACACGCACACGCACACGCACACGCACACGCACACAGACACACACGCACTCAAAACAAAAACAAACAATAAACGCACCCGAACCCCACAATCTAGGTGTTGGGTGGTGTGGTGGACGCGTTTTCTGGTGTGGTGGACCCTCCCTCCCCTCCCCTCCCCTCCCTCCCCTCCCCTCCCCTCCCCTCCCCTCCCCTCCCCTCCCCTCCCCTCCCCTCCCCTCCCCTCCCCTCATAGGTGTCCTTTTTGGTTGTGTTGCTCGAAAAATAGATGGGTTTCGATCCCTGGTTACCTGGTGGTTTAATCATCTACCAGGGAAACCCATTTATGCCTCCTCAAAAAGGACCTCCCCGTGGGTACGCCCCCGGCCAGGACGGTGGCCTGGTATCGCCGCCAGGGTCGCCACTTCCGGCCCGTCGAGTTCTCCTCCGTAGAGGTCCGATCCTTCCAATCCGCCGGCGTCGAGGGACGCGAGAAGTCGCGGAGTTGCGCCCTCTACGCCAAGAACCCGTTTTTGTTTCCTAAAAAACTTTGTTTTGAGGTTCTCAAAAATAGACCTCTATTTGCATCTATTTGCTTAAGGGTTCTCAAAAATAGCCCTTTATTCTCAACAATAGACAGAAGGGATCTCAAAAATAGCCCTGTATTTGCTTAAGGGTTCTCAAAAATAGCCCTTTAATTGCTTAAGGGTTCTCAAACATACACGTCTATTGCTTAAAGGTTCTCAAACATCGCCCTTCTCACAACCTGTATTTGTACAGGTTCTCAAAGACAGCCCCTTATGTTTACAGGTTCCTGCAGAGTTCAGAGACCTTGGAAGGGTCCACCATTTTGAGAAAGCCCATGTGTGCATCTTGCATGCTTGCAGCTAGCCAAGATATTTGCCAGAGATCTTGGAAGTAACCACAAGCACTTGCCCAATTCGATTTAAATGGGTCACAAGCTATGGCTTCATTTTGGGGTGGACGAACATGCGTTTACCGCCCATGTTGATGTTCACCGTGGGTGCAGGGCTTTGACTCGCGGGAGTCATCCACCTTCAGGGGTGTCTTTAGATTTCCCCCTTGTTGGGGGGGTGGGCTGGGCCCCCTGTTTTGGTCAACGTTTTTTCTTGGGCGGGGGAGGGTTCCCCTGGCAGAAAGTCGTTTTTCCCTTTTCGGCGATGGATTTGCCTGCTGTCCATGAAGAAGCATGCATTGTTCTGTTTGGAGTGGGTTCCCAGATCTTTTTTCCACACAAATCATCGTTTCCCTTTTTGGGGGTGAGACGTTCGCGACACGGTCCCCTTGAAAAGGAAAATGGCCCAAATCAGCAGCCCCCGCCCCTCTTTCACGTCAGGTTCGGAGGGTAAAATCAACCCCCTAGATAGCCAAGTTGCTGTTTCTTTCAGTCACTGTTGCTGGCTTTCGGGCTAAACTTAGATGGAACACAAGCGATCGCAATGGGCGCTCCAGGTCCCTTTTAAAAGGAAGCTCGTCTTCCAGGAGCCCTCAGTCAGGCCCCATGTTATTTGAAAGGTAAGCCCTCGCCAAAGTCACGATCGCTTTTTCCAATCTACTTTCCCCCAAAAACCAGCAACAGTGACTGAAAAAGAACTGCCTATCTAGGCCATCACCCCCCCCCCTTTCACGTCAGGTTTTCCATGTGAAACGGGTGGGAGGGTAAATCAACCCGTCCCTTTTCTAAAAACCTCGCAAGCCAATACCAGAAACAGATCCAACAAAAAGCACAGGGAACCATTCTTTCTTGGAGGGCAAATTCACCCGTCCAATCCTTTTGGGTTCCGTTTCAAGACGTGTGGCGATATATATATATTTTTTTAAGCAGCAGGTGATGCAGCAGCTGCCCCCTTCATGGCGCCGTGCAGATCTCGAGGAGTTGAGTTCGTCCGCGGTCGGCCGGTGGGGGGTGGGGCCGCTTTTTTTTTTTGGGGTGGGGGGGAGTGTTTTTGTTTGGTTTTCATGAAACCACTGAAAGTTATTCACTTTTAGCAGGGGAGCAGAAAGCAACCGAGATGGGATGGTCTAGGAAAACCGAACTTGGTGGTTGAACCAGCCATCCGGTTGAACCATATGTGCAGGTCTTCTAGTTGGGCTTTGTGGTAGTGTCCGAATTTACCGCCTAAAGCTAAACTTTTAGCCCTTTAGTTGGGGTTTCGCGTAGTTTCCGAATTTACGCCACTAAAAGCTATTCACTTTTAGCAGATGATCTGAGGACAGCCCAAAAAGAGGAACCAACCACTAATTCGGATGCCTCCAACTTAGAGACAAACGTAGTTCCAGGCGCGCTTGGGCGGGTGGATGACCAAGTCGAACATACCCTTGACCGGGTGCTGCCCCTCTCGCATGTGTGCTGATCATTGCGTGGCGGGAGGACTTTTCACGCGGCATGGCAGTCCCTCATGCGTGTGTGCTTATCATTTGGTGGTGGGTGAGCTTACCTTCCCTTCCACTGACGCGGGGCCTGACTGAGGGCTCCCGGAAGACGAGTTTCCTTTTAAAAAGGGAGGTTCTGGTGGGTCCAGGGTATCACGTTTCTACGGATTGATCCCCTTTCCATTTCGACCATCCTTCTTTTCACAACACCGGATCCGTTCTCGGGATTCTGGAGCTTTTCTAGAAAGATTCGGATACCTAGAAAGAATGGACATATTATATATATATATATTTAAAAAAGAAAAAAAAACAAGAAAAAACAAAAAAACAAAGAAACAACCTAGAAAATTGGGACCTGTGCGGCTACTGCCAGCGAGACCTTCCTGTGCCGCCCGACCCAAAGCGCCTTGAGGAGACGGCCGTGTGCCGTGGCAGCCGGGTGGAGCATCCAGAGCTCGCAGAAGAGTTGTAGAGAAAAGAGCGGCAGTGGATCCGTCCCGTGGAGTTCTTTGCATTTGGCCAAGGGATGGAAGGCCTTGAACTTTCGGCCAAATGGGTTTTTGGCATAAAACCACTAAAAAGTTATTCACTTTTAGCAGGGGAGCAGAAAGCAACCGAGGATCCTTTGTCCCATGAAATAAATGTAGAGGTTGACGTGGCCCGTGAAGGCTTTTTTGTGCCGCTCTAATTCAAATATGTGCCAATTCAGTACAACAAATGTGCGGTTTTAGAAGGTAAGCTCTTCCCCGTAACCAGACCAAGAACTGGGAATCCCGCACCCCCCGCCAACTGTTCTGCCTTTTCCTGCGTCCCAAATCCCATGTGGGTGTGGCTCAAAATGAAGGAAGGGCCAACCGCAGGTTTCAAGTAATTAGTCTTGGGTCCCATTTCTACCTCAATTAGGCCATTTCATGTTGGTTCTCCATTTGTTTTCCCATCTTTTCTTCTTGGGGGGTTTCATGTTTTCCATCTGTTCCATCTTTTCCATCTTTTCCATTTGCTTTCCATTTGCTTCCCCCTCCAGCGATTTCATGTGGGTGTTTCCCATCTTTTCTTCGCGCACGTCCAAGGCCGGCGGAGGCCCCAGCGCCGGTGCGGGGACTCATCTGGGCCCTGAGGCCCGTGGGCGAGTCGCTGGGACGGGGGCTGGTCCAAGGGAAGACTCTTCTCCCTGAGTTCCTGGACAGGCGGCAGACTGTTGTTATGTTTTTTTTTTTTTTTATGAATGGGGGTTGGTACAAGGGGGGTGGGTAGAGAGACTCGGGTTCCAAGAGGGGAACTTCCCCTTGGACCACTTCCATCATCTTGCACTCGAAAAAAAGGAAAAAGCTCAACACGATGAAGGGGCACCAAAAGCGCCAAAAGCGGACTTTGTTTTATCGGTACGTCCTTCAGGGGTTGCAAAAGAAATCGCGAGAACCCGCCGAATTTTCCGGAGGCTCGCTAGGCTTGGTTGCATGCTGACAGCGTGTTCCGGAGCAACTTAGATGTTCCTCCTCTGGTCAAACATTTCCCTAGGTGTTGTTCAACTGGTCAGAGGCTAAAAAAAGCAAAAGCAAGCCAAAAGGAATGTACCCCCTACGCCCAATGCCCCCTTTTCAAGCATATGATGTCGAATGATGCCAGCCCTGACAAAACAGGACGAGGCATTTGATAGTGGAACAGCTGGTTCTTTGCAATACTTCCTGTATTTGGTAGGGATACTCATTTGTAATTTAGTTGTTCAGTGGTACCCTGTTTCCCTTTTCTGGTGGCTGCCCAACTAAAAATGGTCTTCCCCAACAAGGGTTCCCTTTTTTTCCCAGGGTCACTGAACAACTGAGGTAAGGAGCGCCCCCGAGTTGTGACACGCACTTGAACCAAACCTTAAAAGGGCATGGGGCTCGACTCGCCAAGTTGTTCGAGTCGCAGGCCGTACTTCATTGACTGGCTGCAGCGGCGGCAGCGGCCGGAGCCTCGCTGGTTGCCAAACTCAGTTGCCTTTCATTTGCTTAAGAATACTTTGGTATTTTTCCCCGTTGGTTCTGAAAGGGAATCTATCACTACTGGAAACATGTATATTTGTCCCAGGGGTCTCAAGCAAATGGAGGTTGCCGACCTTTTGACCTTTGGTTCCTCGCTTTGGTCCAGTTTTAGTGGGCCCAAAAGGTGAACCTTGTATTTCTGCGTCCCTAAGGGGCATCTGAGCAAAGGGGGCTAATGGCGCCTAGCGCCTAAGGCCTACTCGGAAAAGGGCCCTGTCTCGTGTGTGTCTAGGTAGACCTCCCCGCACCCAAAACGGATGCTTCTTGTGGCGTCCTGTAAACAAAACAAGGTCGGGTTAAAAGCGTGCCCTCGGATATGCAGCCCCCAAAGCACCATTGGACCCTCAGCGTTCCGGACCGTTAGAAGTCAAAACAAATGCCCTGTTGGAGGGCCCAAGATGCTTAGGGCCGTATGGTCTTGAGGGTTCCCCGCCATCCTTTCGGGTGTCAAGACTTTTCGTTTTTTTCTTGGTGGGGTCCGAATTGAAGCCACTAAAGGTCAGTCACTTTTACAAGGTCCCCCAGTAGTGCCCTTTTACCCTTTTTTGGGGGAGGGTTCCCCTACTAAAATAGACTACAGAAAAAAAGAAGTCGGGTACCCTTATTCTAACCTCTCTGGAGAACCTAGTTTAGCGGGGCATCTCAAGAACAGATTCGGACGGGTTTGGGGATGTTGATGAGCCAGGCTCGGGTGGGAGCGGAGCCATGGGCTGGCGTCCAGTTGTCCTTCTGGTGTAGGTCCCCCAGCTAGGTGCCGACTTTTCCCCTTTTTTTTGGGCGGAGACGTTCCCCTACTAAAACAGGGAAAACAACACCGAAACAAGTTGGTACCAACTTATTCTAACCTCTCAAATCTGGAGGACCTCTCGACTGGTTTTCATGGTTGTTGTTGGGAAACATTTTACATTTTTGCTTTTGGTGGTTTAGTGGGAAATCCCCACTTAACTGCTAAAACGTTTTGTTTGCTCCCCTTCCAACGTCAATCGAGTTTTCCGCCCATAAAATCGCGGGTAGAGGCTGCGCCTCTTCACGCAACTGCTGGTGGCGTTGCCGGACTCGGCGCCGGGAACCCCAACGATCAAACGGCCGTCACGGGCCGACAGGCCCTAAGCCGGAGCTGTCAGGGTCCTCGTTTTTTTTTTTTTTGGGGGGGGGTGTTTTTTTCTTATTATTAATTATTGGTGTTTTGGTTTTTGTTTTTGTTTTTTGTTTTTTTTTGGGGGGGACCCTCAGGGCAGTGATCGATTTTTCATCATTTGATGTGACCAATTCCTGAGGGGCCCTCAAAAACAACAGTTTGTGAGGACCCTTGGGGCAGTGATCGTGTTTATCATTCAGCTGGTGTTTGGAAAAGGAACCACCCAAAATAAAGACTACAAGGAACTAGAACATGGGGAAGGATTACCTGTGGAGGCAACTGGAATCCACTGGGAAACGGAAGGCAGGGGTTGCCTCCTCACCGGTCACCGCGTGTGCCAGATATCATCAGATATCCCAACCAAGTAACTTGCCAAGTTATGCTGCTTGGGTTCTGCAGGATGATCATCCCAAAACCAACCCTTTCCTTTGGCTGGGGCAGGCTGGTGAAAGCAGGAGAGGGGGCGGGAACCGAACAAAAAGCAGGGTAGGAATATAATCCATGTCCCTCAGTGCTTCTGCTTGCCACCACTGGTCAACGGAAGCTTAGAATTGACTTCCGTGGTACGGCAACTAGTTGAAAGCTAGCATTCTGGCAAGAGACAAGAGAAGAATACCCTCGCGAAAAAATGCGTGCACGTGCGGGAGATGGGCATGTTCAAACCAGTGCAACTCGAAAGTTCGCCTGATCGCGTCCGGAACTCTCTCGGAACAGGCTCGGAGCCGCTCCCATTGGCACCGACGCGCGCGCGCGCGTGGTTTTCGCGACACGAGTTTTTGCGACGTGCACGACATCTTCGCAAGAGGTGCAGACTTTGTATCCGGCGAGGCCAGGTCCAGAGAAAGTGATGAATGGATTCGCAGATTGATAGAGAGGTAGACAAACAGACAGACAAGAATAAGCAACAACAGTAGAAAAAAGACAAAGAGAGACGGAGAAAGAGAAGTAAAAGAAGGGAAGGAGGAAAGAACGAAAGATAGAATGATGACGACGAGAAGGAAGAGAGAAAGAAGAGAAAAAGACAGGAAAATAAAGAAAAGATAAAAAGACAGAGGAAAATAAAGAAGATAAACATAAGGAGGACAAGCACTAGAAAGATATCTGGTTTCAGGGGAAATAACACCAGAAGGGAAATCCAACTGGTTACCTGCAATGATATTTGGAAGCCTCAGGAGGTGTTTTGTTGTTTCAGCGCCTTTTTCTGTACACCCTACGAATGGAGAACTCGGCCTTCCGATCCTTTGCCATGCTGCAAACTGCTTGGTTTGGTCCTTCTCATTATGAATCCATCCCAGCACTCTCCAAAGCTGTTTTTTGCCCATGTCTCACACCCTACGTGGGAAGAGTGCTGGTTTATTTTTGTACAAGGACAAGGTCACACTGGCATTGATTAAGCAGAACTCGGGCGCGCCCCCTGCAGGTTCCGGCGTTTCTCTGTACAGGGTGCAGAGACGTCGCTGCAGGCCCGGGGCTGAGTGAGTGAATCACCAACAGAACTCTTGTTTCAGCCAAAGCCAAAAGTCGAAGCCGCGTCTTCATGGTGGCCCTCCGGAATACGTGAGCATGATAACACTAAATACTAACCAGTTCCCTTCCCCCCACCAACATTTCTGCTTCTCCCATGTCCAGGAATCCCAAGTACTGTTCAAGAATCAGTTGGGAGGGGGGCTCTGGCAAGGGATTTTGAGGACATGTTCAATTGATAACTATTCAGCCGCCAAACCATCCACCTCATCATTGGATGCTACAGAGGTTTTCCTTTTGCTGCGACACTTCTTCAGCCAGCCCCTGTTGTGCCGCTTTTGCGGTTTAAAATGTTTTGCTCACGTTCCCAGTTAATTGACTTTAAGCTTTTGGGAAGATCTGTGGCAATCACAAGGTCCGGACTTTTTCTGACCAACGCGCGCAAGTGAGTTGGCCAGTGTTCGAAAAGCTTGGTTGATTTGAACTGGGTTTCCCCAGCCCGGAAGACACCATCAAACCACCGATTCGGCTGCCCCTCCCACCACTTCCATTTGCTGCAAACGATACTTTCCTTTTTCTCCCTTGTTGGTTCGGGCCTCGATTTCACGCCTGGAAAAGCATATTTGCTCATTTTTTCCGGGCGATTTCAGCCAATGGGCGCCAAAAGGGCATCCTAAATGGGCCGTTTTCGGAGCCCCAAACTCAATTTATGTGGCAAAGGATCGAAGTCGCCGGGAAATCCGCCAGTCCCTCATGGACTTGACCGAGCGCGACCTGCTGGTGGCTGCCTCCTCAGTCTGTTTGACGAGCCACTTAAGTGGATCCGACCAAACGCGCACCCCCGCAAAGGGACGCCTCCATGAACACGACTCACGGGGATGTTCCCACCGAAACTGCGTTTTTTTTAGGGGGGCTGTCACCATTTGGGTATGGATCAAAATCAAACCACCAAGAGACCGCATATTTTAGTCTATATTACCGCTTACCAGGGTTCAATTTTGGGGTTACCCTATTTTTGACCCACGGCCATTTGTTCAGGTCACCGGGTGAAACTCGGAAAAGCCCTGACTTCCAATTGCCAATCCACTTGTTACTTGTTGGGTTTGATCACCATGTCGGACCTCGGAGCAACCCTTTTTTCCCCAGTCACTCGGTCACTCGAACGGAAAGCCCCAGCCCCAGGCTTCTAAGCACCGAAACGGCTTGTCCTGCTGGTATTTTGCATTTTCCGACTGGGAAATCGAGCCGGTTCCCGTTTGACGTCCAGGTCCCAAGAGCCACCAGATCGAACTCTCAATCTGCGGTCAAACCTATTGACGTGGTGACAGTGGCTCGTCCGAGCCGATCCGCCAATTTCGCGGAAGCTGACCTGGCCATGGACGAAAATCTCGTCCCCCCAGTGAACATCCGATTCAATCCAATCACTCAAATAGGAAGCCTAAAATGGGTGGTGAAGTTCACCTACCCAAATATGGGATACCAAAACGGTTTTGACAACCACAGCCACTTGTGTTTTGATCGCTTGATTGTTGAGTTTTGAAGAGACCTCAGTGCCAAGAACGAAGCCACAGCATGTGATCTAGTCTTCGACCTCTTATTTCCCATATTGCTGAGACCATTTGGGTGTGGCTCATTTGGGTGTGGCTCAAAAATGGGAGGACCCATTTTTGGCCAACCAGTTTTTTTGTTGGAGTAACTATTTAGACTCAAAGAAATGCGTTTTGGCCAACCAGTTTTTTGTAGAGGAGTACTCCTTTCACCTAAAAAACATGCGGTGGACACCAAAGTGGGTTGCTTTGGAATAGGCGAACACAGCTGCGGTGGGGGCAGCCCCCGCAGCTTTCTCAGGCGACCTTGGTCTCCACCCCGCTGGACCAGCGCTCCCGCCTCTACGCCGGCGGCCCAGGGTGACAAATGGCCATGGGTCAAAAGCCCGGTTCTCCCCCACCCAGTGAACATCCAAATCCAGCCACTGATTCTAAAATGGGTGGCGAATTTACCTATCCCAAAATGGGATACCAAAACGGTTTTGACCCAAACATAAAAAGTCAGGGCATGGCGGAAGATCCATTCGGATGCAAATTATGTAGAATATACTGTATATAAAATATACAATATCTAGATGGAAAAGAAGCTCCGTTGCATTTTGCTTGGATGTTAGGACTTCAATTTTTTGCCAACTCATGTGTTCTCCCATGAAACCACTAAAAGTTATTCATTTTTAGCAGGAGAACAGATTTTGCAACCGAGAATAGATATATACAGTATGCAAAATATATTAGAATACATCTTGGGCCCGGAAAAGGGCATTGCATATCAGGTCCAACATCTTCCAACGGAGCTGTTCCCCCTTATGGAGGGTTCCCCCGCCGATGCTTGGGGTTTTTGTTGGGTTTTTTTCAGGGAAGCGGCCAGGGGTCTGCATTGGAGGACACCCACACTGAGGTCTGCATTGGAGTGCGGGGACCCTTACCTCACTCCCTAAGCTCCGTTTCGGACTTGAGTCATTTTTGGGGTTTGGACCATTCTGGTGTTGAAATAGTAAGTCTGGGTACCGTTTTTTGCCAATCCACTCAGGCTGTGAGTCATTGCTTCATTGATAGCTGCCCAAAGGCTGAAGCCATCCCCTAACGTGTAGGGGGAGGTCCGGGGACCTTCAGCATTGGTTTTTAGCCGGACTTGTCATGGTCTCCACGAGGATTCGGACTTGAGCAGTTCTAGCGGTACCCGGCAGGATTCGGACCGCTCCGTTTCTCCCTACTATTGCCTTAGGGTTAGCCCAAGACCTCAAATTATTTTGCTTTTTGAGAAGGTCAAGGCCCTCATAGTTTGGGTCTTTGGGCTTCTAGAGGTTGTTCAGGTGTCCCTTTGTGGTCCTTTTGGCCCATGAGAGATGAGTGTCCCTGGGTGGGGGGTGATCCTTAAGGGGGAAACATAGGGATCCCCGTTGTTCTTTTCTATTTTTGGAGGGACAGCTCCCTTCGGACCGCTGCTTTTCTTTTTGATGGACATGTAGGGATCCCTTTTAGTTGTTTTTCTCCGGACCGCTGTTTGTTTGTTTTTTTTCCTCGAAATGTATGGATCCCTGCTCTTTTAATGGACATGTAGGGATCCCTGTGGTTTCTCTCGATGGGATCGGGAGTCGGCTCCCGGATCGCATCGGAGAACTCCAAAGGCCTACGCCGCGGAGAACGAGCTGCCGCTGCCCCTGGCCTTCTCCGGGCTGAGGCACCAGCGCCGTCGGCGCGCCGCCGCGCGGCGTCTGGGGGGACGTGGCGCGGGAAAAAGCGCGGGGGGTTTCCGCAGGGAAGAGGGGCGGCCGGGTTTTTGGTTGGAGCATCTGTTAAGACTTTTTTTTGGGGGGACCTGTCTACTTGGAGGATCTTTGGGCTTAACTAGTTTATGGGCTTTTTGAGATTGGGGACTGGTCCTTTATTGGGGAGTTTGCCTGTTTGCCTGTTTGAGTCAGATATTGCTGGACCGAAGGGGTTGCGGTTGCGCATTCTGGAAGGTGTTGGTTGCCTAAGGAGACGGATGCATTGAGCGGGATCTTTGGGGAGACTCTGGCGTACAAGGACCCAAGATGCTTAGAGTGAGAGAGGATTTCCGAGAAAGGGAACTTCAAGTGGCGATCGTTAGGGGAAATCCAGTGACTCTAGGTTTGACAAGTTTGATGCCATGCAATTGGTTGTACATGTTTTTAGGAGGGTGAAAGAACCCATGGCGTTCGAAGTTTGAGCATCACCCAAGCATAGTGCTCACCCCCCCCCCCCAAGAGACACTGCCAGCCAGTAGTCTTTGAGTTGCGACGCCGGTTTTTTTAGAGTCGCTCGAACCCAAGCCCAGCGCAGCGATGCGCAGGAAAACGATATCCGGCTCAGCGCCTAGGCAAAACGCCTCGGCAAAAACGCGCCTCCAAACCAAGCTCCGACCCAAAACCAGAGGGTCCCTTTCCTTGGTGGCTCCCAGCCATCCCCTTGGCTTTTAAGCCTAGTGTTTAGTGGCAGTTTCCATTTAACCCACTAAAAGTTAGGCACTTTTTTGTTTTGGGATCTGCAAACGGGCAGCCCAGTTTCCGATGCCACAAATCCGGTGCGATTTGGACACCTGCCAGGTGTCCATGCCCGCCTGAGGCAGGCGGACGATGGGACCAGGCGTTTTTCAAGTGATTCTCGGCGGGCGAGCTAGGTCAGGTCACCTTGATGGTTTGGATTGGTGAGAATCCCCAAAGGTTGATTTGGACTGAACCCCCCAAAGTGGATCGGGATGGGAGGGTTGGAAGAGACCACCCTTGGTTCTGTTGGGCATATATTTTCATATGAAAGACAAGCCGCTTCGGGAGACTTCCATTCAATCCAAGCCACTGAGAAAACTGGTTCCATTTGGTTTGACACTGATAGAAAGGCCTAGCTCTACAACCGTTGTAGAACCAAAAGTCAATGGGGCGCTGCACTGAGCCCCAGTCAAGACCTAAAAAGAATGCGGCTCGGTCCCGGGACTGTGCGGGATATCCATCCTTTTGGTTCTTTACTTGGCGGTTGGGTAGACGCCGAGAATCCCAAATTATGGATTCAGTGGTGTTTTGTTGTGGTTCCCCCCGTTTTTCGAGGCCACCAAAACTCAAATCATGAACATAGGTGTCCCTTCTTGTTTTGGCTTGGTTGAAAAACAGACACCCTGGATTATGAGGCTGCCCCCCAATTCGAACTTAATAGAATCATAATCATGGCTTACAGGGGGTGCTGCTTCGTAGAGTGCACTCTCCGCCTAATCCCTTCCCCTAACAACAAAACGGTTCCCCCCAATAATAAGTTGGTCCCGCGGGGAAAAAACACATTTCTATTAGTAGGGTCCCTGTTCGTTTTCGGAAAACCCTGAGAGACAAACAGCTAAGTCCTATATTCTTTGGTGTGGAGGGCGGTTCATTTGCTTTGCCAGACTTGCGTTCTGCTGCTGCGTTTGCTTTGAGGGCATGAGGAAATTCTTATCACAGTGCTAGGCTGGGCGTTTTTCTTTCAGACAATGGGTTGTTTGCAAGATTGAAGGCACAAAAGGGTGGACTATTAGGGCTGGATTTGACCACGGGCGGGAAATACCTGCTTTAGAATTGGTTTAGTACTGGCCTATTCTGCAACTAGTATTCCGGGATTCCGGATTCAAAACAAAAATCATTAGGGGGACCTTTATTATTAGGAAGAAGGGATTCCTCCATTTTTTTGGTCTTCAGGGATATTGGACCCCACCTGGCTTTCAATGTCAACCCTCCTTTTGGTCGGGGGAGTTTTCAGCACTCGGCTCGCCAAATCCCGACCCGACGGATCCGACGGTGCGCAGGAAGATGGCGACGGCTTCGTGTCGCAAGGCCGTGTCGATGTATTCCGTTGCCACCAAAGGGGCCTATAGGGGCCCACCTCCAAAAGTGCCACAGGGAGCCAACTCCAAAAGTGAAAGCCTACGTGACTCCAAAATCAGGGACCGCGGATTATCAAGTTCCCTTTTAGCAGAGGTTCATCACTTTGGGGACCCCTAGATTTATAAGGTGGGTTTATTAGTCCGGGGTCAAGACTACATTGTTGTGCACCGGATCCCCAAACTAAAATCAACATTCATGCCCGGGGGAAACGCCCGGTGACCTCTTGCAACTGGACGCGCGGGGACTAACAGCCGGAAGCTCCCAGAAGGCCTCCGATGGAACCAAGTCTCAACCATTTCGGTCTTGGGAGCTCCACAAGGAAGCCTGGAGGAGCAGAATTTAGTGAGAGATCTGCAAGAATCTTGCAAAAACAAACCTAGGAGCCTAGACAGCGAGGGCTAAAGGACAATGCCAGCGTCCAATTTGTCCATGTCCACTGGAAGCAAGATCACCGTGGCAATTTCTCGCGGCCGGGCAACTTTCGGGGAAGCTTCAAGTGCTTTGGGCGCAAAGCTGCACGCCAGCCGCCAGCACGCCATCTTCTCAAAACTTAGTCTTGGGAGTTGCCGCCAGGCAAACGAGCAAGCAATCTGTGATGTTGACCTTCCAACTGGCTTGACGTTGATTTGCCGAAAGTGAACATCAAGAAGTGTTTCTACAATATGTATGACCCAAACCATATCCTATCACAAACAAGTCAGTTCTTTTTTGCGTGCCAACGAATAAGCCGCATGCATCTGCTGAGCAGTCCATGTGTCAGGCATGTGAGTACCGGATCAACAAAGGAACATGCCAGCGCCCCCCAACTTTCCTACATTCGGGTATGGGTCAAAATTAAACCACCAGGATTTGGACCGCAGGTTTTGGTCCATGCTTCCATTTTCTAGGGTTCGATTTTGGGAATTCCGATTCTCGACCGACCCACTGCCAAACTTCCGATGTCCAAGGCCCCAAGCTACCCAGGTGCTGGGACGGCTCCTTTTCGGGATGCGAGTTGGTTCCTGTCACGCAGAGTTGCCGCGGCAGTCGGATGAACCTGCTGGGGAATGGCCGCGTTTTCAGGCGTGAAAGCTTCTGTTCAGCTCAGGGCTTTGCGCAACTCCACCCAAAAGCTGCCCCAGGAAGTTGTCTAGGTTTCCGAGTAGTGCCAACTTTTACCAACCTTTTTGGGGGATTCCCCTACTAAAATAGACAAAAAAGAAAAAAGTCGGGTACCAACTTCTTCCAACCTCTCACTACTGGAGGACCTAGGGGAGTCTCAGTCAAGTGTTCCGGGATCTAGTGCGCAGGGTTATGCTAGGACATTGGAAGTTTCTTTTTTTTGCCTATCGCGGTTGGGTGGCTGAAATCCAACCACTGAACTGCTAAAATCTAAATGTTGGCTTGCAGCGAATCTCAAACGCCCTTCCAGTTGTCCCACTGTTCATGCCGCATCTCCCTTCAAAACCTCCAACGTCAACCAAGAGGAAGCGGGATTTCCGTTCTTCCGCCAGAAAAAAAACGCTCCGAGAGGGCCCACGGCCCCTTGCCGCCCAGTCGACCGGGGCGTGACCGTGCACTGGGAGGCTTTCGAGGCGGGCCGGAGAGATCAGGGTGGGACCTTGAGTGGGTGCCCCTTGTGGATTGGGTCCCGTTCTAAACGGGCGGGGGTTTATCACCGGATTTATCGGGGTTTATTTGGTGCCACCAAAACGAGGGTTGGATTATTTTTTCCTAAGGATAGTTGCAAGTGATTGGGTCATTATCTTTGTTGCACTATGCAGTATGGTACTGGATAATTCCAGCATGGAAGCCCAGTATGAGTTTTGACCCACAATTACCCAGTATGGTACTCTATTTGCCTTTTGTGTCTTTGGGGACAGATGGACAGCCAAGAAACTTTGGTGCATGTTGCCAAGGGATGTCAGGACTTTAAGACTTTTTTGCCAACTCATGGGTTTTCCGACTTAATCCACCAACAGTTATTCACTTCTTGCGGGGCTTCGCAGATTTCGCAGCCGAGACTAGGTCTCATGTCGCCCACCTGAGTCCTGGAAAATGGGAAAGAAGAACTAAAAAGCCTGCGGTCACCTGATGTTTTTTTTCATTTCTTGACCAAGACCCATGGTGTAGAAATCTGTCATCGGGTGTTGCTGTCGGTGCGCGGGCTGTGGGGCCCTCAACCAAGAGATTACAGGTATCTTCTGCAGGGCTCCTTAAAAGAAATTCATCTTGCAAGCATTTGAAGCATGTTGCTTTTTCCACCAAAATCAAGGGACACCACCATTTACAAGTCGCAATGTTCAGGTGTTTTTCATGTAAGGATCCCTGTTCTGCTTGCACGCAGTGATGTGGGTGTGTCTTTTTTTGAGCACCTATTCTTTGTGGGTTTTAAAAGGAAACCAAGGGCAGCACCATTTTGAGGGCTCTCAAAAGACACCCCCCCATGTTTCTCCAACTTTAGAGCTACCAGTTTAGGAAGTCACGCGGTTTGAGGAACTTATGCTGGCTCATGCCAATCTGACTTGATTGACAAAATCTGCCAGTGTCGAGGAACATGCGACAAGCTGCAGGGCGGTCCTGTTGGGGAAGAAAGGCGGTCAAAGCAAACCACCAATTCCGGGCATTTCCTAGGACGGGAAGGGAATAATTTGTAGAGATTGCAGCAAAACCAACTTCAAGGCATTTTGCCAGACGTCCTCCCAAGAGTTGTGTCCTGCTCCTTTTTTCACAGGCCACGGAAGAAAAACACCCCGTGTGAGATTCCACCTGAGCAATGCCAATGGCCTGTGGGAAATGGCCGCCGTATCACAACGCTTTGGTTGCAACAGGCGGGCAGGGTGGTTGGGTGGAACAAACAGACCCCTCCAGTGGCTACCCCTTTTGCTTGAATCAAATGAAGAGGAGCGGTTGCACTGGAAGGTTACGATTCTCTCAAAACGATGTTGCAAGAGAAACCACCAGGGCATGTCAGACGTAAGTCAGGGATTTGAAAAAATGGGAACCCCAGTTGCCCCAGTATGTATGGTAAAAAGACAAGAGTGATATAACCATCCAGTCCCCCATTCATTACCCCAGTCAGTATCCATGGTAAAGAAAGAAGTTATTTCACCATCTCTCCGATTTATCCAGTCAGCTATGTGAATCAAAACGACCTCACACGACCTCAGCCCAAATGGTGGTTTATGTGGGGAATAGCCCCCCAACCACCTCATTTCAGGTTGGTGAAATATGATAAAACTCACCCAGAGTCAGTATCTATGGTGCAGAAACAGTGATGGAACCATCCAAGCCGCCCATTCCTCATGGTTGTTGTTGGGAAACATTGGACACATTTGTTTGTTTATTTCTGGCTTAGTGGTTGAAATCCAACCACTTAACGGCTAAAAAATCAATAGTTTTTCCCCTTCCAACGTCAACCAAGTTCCCTTGGCTGAAGGGAAATGCTTCCCATGTTGTTCAGGTGTGGGTGCCAGCATGACTGGGTGTTCCAATATGTTTGCTCCCCAAAAAGTCAACCAAGTCCTGGCGCAAGCCTTTTCCTTCGCCCAGGCCCTGCTGGCTTTGCCCAGTGACCGGCCTTTGCTGCTGTCACTGGGTGCCCAAGGCTGCGCGCAGGCGTTACCTTCGTGCCGAAGCGAAATGAGACTAGGTCAAGCCTTCTACTTTCCCCTGGGTGGTTCCCAGCCACCCCGTTCCTAAGATTTGTTGACTCTTTTTGGTGTTTAATTGAGGCAGTTTCCGGATTTAACCCACACAAAGTGGTCAACTTTTTGCGGGGGATCTGAGTACAGCCCAGCTTCCAAGTGATGGTATGACTGCAGGTCAAAAGGAGGGCAACCCCCAAATGGGTTGCCCTGGTCAATGGAACCAGCGTATTGCCGGTGGTCTAGTTTTGACCCACTTTACCCAGTATGGTATTCTATATGCCGTTTGTGTCTTTGGGGGCACATGGACGGCCCAGAAACTTTGGTGCATGTTGCTTGGATGTTCGGACTTTAGCTGTTTACCAACGAATGGGTTTTCCGACTTAATCCACCAACAGTTATTCACTTTTAGCAGAGCAGATTCCGCAACCGAGGTAATGTGATGTTGGTGGGAGACCCTCATAGCGGCCTTTTGCCTTGGAGCAGCCGGCTTTACCCGTTGCAGAATGTACCATATAGGCAGATGTATATGCATATTAATATATTACATACATACATACATACATACATACATACATCCATGCATACATACCTACCTACCTACATAGATAGATAGATAGATATATAGATAGATAGATACATACATACATACATACATACATACACATACATACACGCATACATACATACATACATACATACATACATACATACATACATACATACATACATACATACATACATACATACATACATACATACATACATACATACATACATACATACATACATACACATACACATACATACATACATACATACATACATACATACATACATACATACATACATACATACATACATACATACATACATACATACATACATACATACATACATACATACATACATACATACATACATACATACATACATACATACATACATACATACATACATACATACATACATACATACATACATACATACACATACATACATACATACATACATACATACATACATACATACATACATACATACATACATACATACATACATACATACATACATACATACATACATACATACATACATACATACATACATACATACATACATACATACATACATACATACATACATACATACATACATACATACATACATACATACATACATACATACATACATACATACATACATACATACATACATACATACATACATACATACATACATACATACATACATACATACATACATACATACATACATACATACATACATACATACATACATACATACATACATACATACATACATACATACATACATACATACATACATACATACATACATACATACATACATACATACATACATACATACATACATACATACATACATACATACATACATACATACATACATACATACATACATACATACATACATACATACATACATACATACATACATACATACATACATACATACATACATACATACATACATACATACATACATACATACATACATACATACATACATACATACATACATACATACATACATACATACATACATACATACATACATACATACATACATACACACACACATTCATACATACATACATACACACACATACATACATATATACATACATACATATACATACACATACATACATACATACATACATACATACATACATACATTCATTCATTCATAAAACATATATATATACATATATATAGATACACACACATATATATATATATATCGCGGTGACCATACAGAAATAGTATATATATATATATACATACTACATATTGCTTTATTTTACGTATTATATATACCCATTATGACGTCTGCGTTATGCACGAGGCGAACTAAACGCCCCATGCTACCTGGAGATGTCCGGCCAGCGGCAAGCGGGGCTCTCGCTCAGGGCGGCAAGAGCAGCCTGCTGCGGGAGTTGCTGGGCCTCGAGGCTCAGGTCGTGGAGGCCGCGATCTCGCCGATCGTCCTTTCGAGCGCGCGGGATCCGCCCGATTTGAGTTCCAGCGTGTTTTTTGTTTTTTGTTTCTTTTTCTTTTTCCGTGTTTTTTTCTTCGGTGAAACCAAAAGGAAAGCCGATGCGGTCGGTGGGTTTTTGACGGGGCAAAAGGAAAGCCGTGGAGAGCCAGTTTGGGGGATCTTGTCTCCTTCAGATCTTGTATCCTCCCCTCGTTCTGTACAGCGTCAACCGGTCGTCCTGCTTAAACGCTGAACTGAGTTCCCCTGCTTGGTCTCAATGGGGCGCGCCCCTTGGGGAGTTTCTTGCTGCTTGTCTTGTCCAGGGGACCGAGGTCTATTGAACGTAGTGGACAAGGTCCGCTTCGCACGAGTTGGGATGGGTCTTCACCACTTGCGGCTTGCGACGCAAAGTGGATTTTGTCCATCCGCGCAATCATGTCAAAGAATCATTTTGGTCACTCAACGTTGACCAGAATATGTGATGATGTTCCCTTGTTGGTTTTAAAGGGGGTCCATCACTACTGGACATATATGTTCCGTTTTTCCAGCGGGCTTAAGCGAATGGAAGGAATCAAGCATTTTGATTTCAGTTGGGAGTAAGATTCGCAGGGGAGGGTTGGAGACAGGGTGTGGGGCTGAGGGCAGGGTTGGCACGGGGAGTCGGGAGGGTTGGTGAAATTGAGCAACCAATTTGTAATTTGATCGGCAAGCAGTGAGTTTATAGACTCACTCCCTGAGTTCCTGCACGTTCAACCTTTGGGAAAGACCAAATTTTAGTGGTACACAAAGAGTTTGCATTGGTTTGGCCCATCCACTCCGGAAAGGAGTAACTGTTCCGTTGGGTTTTTCGCAAAGGGGTTTTGCCCATGCATTTGGCTGTGAATTCACAAAGGCCCCCCTCGATCGAACATGGCGAACATAAATCCCGAAATGATGTCCGCCAAAAGGGGCCCCGATTGAACATTGTTCCGCCCATATCGTTTGGTTCGCTTTCAGCACCAATGGATCTTTATCTTTTGTCGGACAAAAGTGACTCTCGTCGAGTCAGGCTGGCGAATCTTTACCAACTTGGCATTTGCGTCTCACTGGAAACCCAGAGAACAGCTTGTTTTGGTTGACCAGTTGGATTTCCACTTTGCTGCAGGACATTCCAGGCACACACACACACGACCTTTCACAATTGTCAGCAGGACACTTGGCGCATGTTGTGAGCTTTTTGGGGAAGCTCCTCATACTCTTGGCGGTTCCCAGCCGTCCGGTTTCTTAGGTTTTCAGTTTCGTAGGGCTTACTGGTCGGGTTTCCAAATTCAACCGACAAGTCAAGCTTCTAGCAGAAGATCAACAAACAACCAGCCCAACTTCCAACTAAAATCATGGCTGTGACCCAGCAAGGCTTGTTCGAGTCCTTTCTGGGAAGCTCCTCATGGTTTTGCACCTTTTTGGTAGAAACCCGGATGTAAAACCCGGCTCGCGCTATCTGCTCCTCATGGTTTGCACCTTTTCGGTTGAAAACCATGTTCGAGTTTCTCTGGGAAGCTCATGTCTTGGACCCTTTCGTTTGAAAACCGGATGTAAAACATCCGGCTCCCGCATGGCAATTCCTTTTCGGTTGCAAATTAAAATCCGCCGGAGGTCAGCCAATTCCCGGCTCGTTTTCGCTCTCTCGCTCTCTGCCTTCTACTCGCGGCGCTGGCGCTATCCTCTCGCAACAGGCCCCGGCGGTGCGCAGCGGTCCCTGCAGGTCGCCCTGCCACGCCCCGGGAGTGGACCTCCTGCGCAAGGCGCGCGAGTTCGGGGCGAGCCGCATCCCCGAAATCCACTCCGAGCCTAGACCTCCAGTGAAGTGGGGGCGAATCCTGTCGCAAAAATGTGTTGTTTTTTGGGGGGGGGGAGTGAGTGGGGTGCGAGCTCTTGGATTCCCACCCTTTTCCTTTTTGGGAGGCTGCTCTTTCGGTTCGAGGGCGCCCTTTTTTTCCCATGGCCGCTGGGGGTCTCGGACCTACTTGGATGTTCAACTTGGTAGGGATAGCTAAGTTCCCTCAGTCACAACGCATGGTTCTAACCTACTAACTTAAGGGTCAGGTAAGGGTCAACCCTCTCGCAACCAGCTTTGTGTGGGGATGGGAACAATCGCTTCATGGTTGCACTTTGCAGTGTGAGATCGGGCTGGTGAATGCCTTACAGGTTCCTTTCGGTTGTCCCTGCTTGGGATTCGGTTTCGGAAGGGCTCACCAAAGGTTGGAGGTTGCTTCCTTTTCGCCTTTGGAGCCGATTTTCCTTTCAAAGGCAGGTGGAAACCCAGTCTCAACCACTTTGCTTCCTTTCAACCTTTTTTGGGCGTTTTTTGTTTTGCCTAGACTCCCTTAAGACCTGGGCCCTTTGGAGTTGTTTTTGGAGCTACCTCAATGCTCAACCGAATGGCCGAAGGCGCCACGTCTTTGTCCCACCATGGTTGTTGTTGGGAAACCTTGGACACATTTTTTGCTGATTGTGGCTTAAAGTGTTGAAATCTCCAACTCCACTGAACCGCTAAAATTCGAGATTCTTTTTTTGGGCTCCCCAAACCCAAACGTCAACGTCGGCCGCTTTTTTCGGCTCCACGAGTCCACGAACCCGCAGGCGAATCTGTGGACGGCGGATGTGCACGGCTGCTCCTTGGGGGATCCGACTTGGATGGCTCGAGCCTCAGAGCCTTCAGAGCCTCAGGATCGATCGGATCGATCGGCATGGGAAGGGATCGGCAAGAGTCGCATGAGTCGCATGCGGCAAGAGGGCGTCCTTTTTGTTTTTTTGAAATAGATGGGGATTTCCTGGTTTACTTGGTGTTTTTTTGTTTGTTGTTTTGTTTGTTTGTTTTTTTTTTGTGGAGAAATAGATGACCTTGGTTGACCTGGCGGTTTAATCAGCAAACCAGGACCATCTCTTTTTTTAGAAGTAGATGGGTTTCGATTCTTGGTTGACCTGGTGGTTCATCATCTACCAGGGAAACCCATCTATTTGCCCTAAAAAGGACACCTATGGCAAGAGGGGTGTGGCGCAAAAAAAAATCCGCTTTTCCCTCTACTTGGTGTTTTGGAGCCTGGTTTGGAGGTTGGGAAGCGGTTTGGGATGGTTTGAACCCCTGGTTCTTTCAATGAGTCAATGGGAGTTTGGATTGGCTTGGAGACTAGGAAGTGGTTTCCCTTTGAACTTTTGAAAGGACCAGGGCTTCAAATCCCCAAACCACCCATCCCATCTACCGAATACGGGTTGCTAGTTTCCCAAGTGGGTGCCCTGGTAAATGGACAAGTACATACAATCCAGTGGTCCCTGGCTCAGAAAAAACATTGAGCCACACTTGTCTCGGGCTGTCCTTTTTAAAGTTACCCAACAAAATTAGAGGGGTACCCACATACAAGACACAACCAAATCTTTGTTGCATATTGCTTGGATGTTAGGACTTTAACTTTTTGCCAACTAAACCACCAAAAAAAAGTGTTTAGCAGGGGAGCAGAAAGCAACCGAAGTATGGGGGGGTCATTTTTCAAGTTGTTACCCTTGTTGGTGCGGAAACCAGGTCACCTATTTTGCAACAAGCCCGTATGCCCATATTTACGGTCACCGATTCGGAGCAATGATGCAGATCCAGCACTTTCGGAGCCGTTACTTCAGGTTGAACCGATTTCTTGTAGAATTCGTGTAGCAAATTTACGGCCAGCACTTGTAGTTGAGCCCTAAACCTGCACCCTAAATGGGCAAAGGCCGGAAAGAGACCAGAAAGTGCAGCAAAGTGGTGGGCGAACCACATGTGCTGCGGGCATATTTCCTGTCATCCACTGCAGGCCAAGGGGAGTACCATACACACGCTCAGCAAAAAGTCTTTCAGGGCTTCTTGAGGAGGCAGAGCGAGCGGAGGTTGTCTAGGTCCCCCAGGATCGGGTGCCAACTTTCTCACCGTTTCTTTTTTGGTTGGGAGGGTTCAACCCTACTGTAGGCTACAGAAAAAGTTGGTACCAACTTATTCTAACTTCTCAAATCTGGGGACCTAGGTGGTTGGCATATAATTACATGGAACCGGGCAGGGACCCGGTCCCTTCAAAAGGAGAATCCAAACCAGGACCCCTCCTCTTACGTCAGGTTCCATGTTATTTTTAGTTGTCTTTTTCTCTTCGCGGAAGGGTATCCTAAGTGTGGGCTGTAAGCAGGGTCTTTCACCACTTACGACGCCGATCCGGATCTCTTTTTAAGCGAACGGACCACAGCGACTGGTGGGTATCGGGTTGGGTTTGGCAGATGGTCTGACCTAAACCAGTCCGGCATAGCACGGTTTTGTCAGGATATATATCCTGGAATGGGGCAATCACAAGAGGGAGTATCTTTGCATGTCATAGAAGCATATTGCCAGGAATGGGGGGCGTGAGTCTTTGAACTTGATTTGTGGTTCCATGTTCTTTACGGGGAAGACGTTACCCACCAGAGCCGGGAAGAAACAGCGCATAATTCTGTTTTCGCTACATGCTGTTTGCCATTCACAGGGTCAACCTTTGGGACCGCCCCTAGAAGGGCAGATTGGCAGACAACCCGAGTCTGCCTGGCCTACAAGGGTCTGCAAAAGGGTCTTCATGGCCTAAAAGGGTCTTCATGCCTGCCGTTCTCCTGAAGTCCCTCGGTTTTGGGAGGTTTTCACGTGACATATGCAGCTCGATTAAGCACTTGTGGGGGGGGGGGGTACTTTTTTTCCAAGAGCCGGAGATGCAGGGGACAAAGCGTATATCAGCGTATATCATAAAATCGATGAGAAAGTTGCAACAACAAATAAAAGCATTAAACACATTTTATGTGATATAATGTTTGTACCCCCCCCCCGGAAGTGCTTAATCAGGCTTTACTAAAGGGCTTTTTAGGGGGCCCGGAGAGGTGATTTTAAAGGGAAAAATCGCCTCTCCGCCCCCTAAAAAGCCCTTTATAGTAAAGAATGATTAAGCACTTGGGGGGCCCGGAGAGGCGATTTTTAAGGGAAAAATGCGACAAGAGGCGTTGAGTTATACCGAAGGTTAAGTCGATGAATCCCCATGGTCGATGAATCCCCTGCAGACAGAAAAAAAGGAAACCTCGAGCGCCGATTTTTCCGACCAATTCCTCCAAGAGTCCACCGCTTCTGCGGACCCCTCCCATGCCGACGCCTTCTTTAAACCGACCAACAGATTCCCAAGATTCCCCCCTGCTCAAAGTCTAGGCCACTTCTTGATTCTGGATTCTTGTGGCCGCACTTCTTCCAGAGGCAAACCTTGGGCTCGCTCCCTCAGCGCTAGCTGCACTTGTTCCAGGGGCAAACACCTTGGGCGACTCATAGGCCTTGGAGGCCAAAACCTCCGGCTGTAAGGGTAGAAGTACATACCCCTTGTTCATACCTCTTGGCTTCCCTGGTTTCCAAGCTGCTTTATAAGATTATAAGGGCCTACCCCTTTTGGGAAGAGGGTTAACAAAAACATCAGGCCTTTTGGGTTCATATGCCCAAGGGGGTATCTAACAAGGGGTATATGTACCCTGGATCGGCTCGCTCCCAACGGTTCGCGAGGCGTTGATCGCCACCTTTGCGTCCATCAGCGGCTTGACCTTGCTGCACGTCAGCCCGGAGGATTTCCTCCAGGCGCAAAAGGTCTTCTTTGGCGCATTGTGCCCAAGGGATGTAAGGACGTTAAGACTTTTTGCCAAATGGGTTTTCCGACTTGAACCACTAACAGTTATTTCACTTTTGGCATGGGAGCGGAAAGCAACCGAGTTTTTGTCGGTTGGAAGGAATATGGTTCCTCGAAAAATGGCATGGACTTTAGGTAGGACATGGTTCTTTTGGTTAGGTAGGGCGGATATTCTCGAAACATGATTTTCTCGAAACGATGATTTGTGCTATAGGACATGTTTCTTTTGGTTGGTAAAAAGGACACCAACCATCTTGATGACGCATTTTTCCTTGAAATATGGACTTTTCAGTTGGAAGCCAAAAGTAAATAAACCATCTCAACAAAGCATTTTCCTCAAACTGGACTTTGGACCTGTTTTGGGTTGGTATTTGAAAGGAAATCACAAGGCACCCACCCATTTTAATAAGGGTACCTTTTTTTTCTTCCTCAAGATTGATTCTGAACTTCCTTTTTTCAGTTGGAGACCAAACGGACCCCCTGGCATTTTCGGGGACCGATTCCTAGTCGACTAGTCGACGGGTCCGCTGAATTGTGATCCTGGTGTCCCTAATAACAAACTTGAAAGGGACGTCACCCTCAGAAGTATATATATGGTACAGCGTTGCCAGTCCCCCCCCCCAATGGTCATGGGTCAGACAAGTTCCCCCCCCCCCCCCGTGGTTGTGGTCCTGTGGTTGGGTTGTTGTGGTTTCATATACATGTTTACAGATGTACGCGATTTCAACATGTGTGGAGAAATGCCGCAACCATACATCCCCTTACGCGGAGTACCAGTCTATCTACGGGGTTTCGCGAGATTGTGGGGGGCCTTTTTCATCGATGCAAAAAGAATATCGTTGGCCTGTCCCAGGAGCTGGAGACCTCTTTTTGTTTGTTGCATTTTGCCAAGGGATGTTAGGACTGAACACCTTTTTGCCAAATGGGTTTTCCATACCCTTTTAGCAGGAGAGCAGAAAGCAACCGAGTTTTAGTTTGGCATCCTACAGGTAAAAAAATAACCCTCCCACCAATCAACATGAAACCTGGCAGTGCCTGGCAGGGGGTCCCTTCAACAGGAGAATGGTCCAAACCAGGACCCCCTTGTCAGGTTCCATGTGAGTTGGTGGGAGGGTGGCTGTATCCTCTCAAACTCAGATCCTTGAGTTTGGTCCCTCAGAGTTTCTCTCTTGCCAGCCCCGGATCTCTTCGTAAATGCTACCGAAAACATGCCACCGGGCGGTCCCGGGACCTGTTAAAACATTGCTAAAGCCACAACCCCGGAGGATGGGGAGCAATCCCAACAAACTGTATGTAAACTTTTGCGCAGGGTACGACTCAAGAAGGCCACGATCCGACATCCTGAGAAATGCTCTGGCTGCAGCTGGTAGGGATGGTTCATGGCTCGGACGAAAAAAGGGACCGCACATTCACATGTTTGCATGTAGGCTCATGTTTGACAACTTGAAGAAACAACAACTGAACCTTGTGCAATGAAGGTGGATGTGCACTTGCCCAGTGGAGATGGCTGCTGCATAGCAGTCTCTCCGGCGAGCACCATCAGCGAGCTGAAGGCTGCAGCACAGCAGCATTTCCAGCGCCGCTTGAAGCTTACCGCAAACGGCCAGCAGCTCGATTTGACAGCCACGCTGAGCGAGGCAGGCTTGCGAGATGGGGACATGGTGGCTGCGGTTGTGCAGCTTGGCAAACTAACGGCAACTCCAAAGGCATTTGCTTTGTTTGGCCACGGGGGTCGCGTTGTGATCTGGGGTGATCCAGAATATGGCAGAGACAGCAACCACGTGAAAGAGCAGCTTAGCAACGCCCAGCACATCCAAGCAACTGTTGGTGGTGCATTTGCTGCCGTTATTGAACCTGCTGAATCTGGGGATGTTGTGACCTGGGGTCGTGCAAATGGCGGAGACTGCAGCCAGGTGAAAGACCGGCTGAGGAAAGTCCAGCACGTCAAAGCAATTGACTCTGTTTACGAGGCTTTCGCCGCAATCCTTGAGTCTGCGGCTGTCGTGACCTGGGGTGACCCAGAAAGCGGTGGAGACAGCCGCCAGGTGCAAGAGCAGCTGAGGAACGTCCAGCACATCCAAGCAACAGCACGTGCTTTTGCTGCCATTCTTGAATCTGGGGCGGTTGTGACCTGGGGTCGTGCAGACTTGGGCGGAGACAGCAGCCAGGTGCAAGAGCAGCTGAGGAACGTCCAGCACATCCAAGCCACTAAGGTTGCTTTTGCTGCCATTCTTGAATCTGGGGCTGTTGTCACATGGGGCGACCCAGAATATGGCGGAGACAGCGGTCGGGTGCTGAGGAGCGTCCGGGTTGTTCAAGCAACGGAGGGTGCGTTCGCTGCCATCCTTGAGTCTGGGGATGTTGTCACCTGGGGCGGCCCAAAATATGGCGGAGACAGCAGCGAGGTGCAAGAAGAGTTGAGGAACGTCCAGCACATCCAAGCAACTGCCTGTGCTTTTGCTGCCATTCTTGAATCTGGGGCTGTTGTGGCCTGGGGTGACCCAGAATTCGGTGGAGACAGCGGAAAGGTGCAAGAGCAGCTGAGGAACGTCCAGCACATCCAAGCAACTGCCCGTGCTTTTGCTGCCATTCTTGAATCTGGGGCTGTTGTCACCTGGGGCGACCCAGAATATGGCGGAGACAGCAGCCAGGTGCAGGGACAGCTCAGGAACGTGCAGCACATCCAAGCAGCTGACTCCGCTTTTGCTGCCATTCTTGAATCTGGGGCTGTTGTGACCTGGGGTGATCCAGACTGTGGCGGAGACAGTAGCCAAGTGCAGGAGAAGCTCAGGAACGTGCAGCACATCCAAGCAACTGAGGCTGCTTTTGCTGCCATGCTTCAATCTGGCGCTGTTGTGAGCTGGGGTCATCCACAATACGGTGGAGACAGCAGCCTGGTACAAGAGCAGCTGAGCTTAGAAGAAGCAGGTTGAAAGGAAGGAAGCAGAGGTGAACTCCACATTTTGCATTCTCAAGGTACCTAGAACCTATACGGGTCTTCTGAGGGAACCCCTCTTTTTTGGGTGGACTTTCTTTTGGGGGGAGGAGGGGGGGATCCCCAAACAAAGAACGAGCCACCTACATGGATCCCTTGGAAGGTTGGTTCAACTTTCCATGTCGAACGGAGGCTTGGGATCATTGGCACAGGTTCCCTCAGCGGCGCCGCATTTCAACCAAGATGGATCCCCAAACACCAGAGGTGTTTGACATGCAGCCACGATACCTTGATACAGTTGTTGTTTGTTACCCATATAATTTCCTTTGGAATAAATTTTGGTGGACACCATCTTATTTTGGTGTTATAATGGTAGCCCTTTGTTACCTATCTTTGGTTATCTTGTTCCCCTGGGTGGAAACCATCTTGGAGATGTGATGAATATTGTATTTGCATTGTTCTTGAAAAAGATAACAGTAACAGAACATTGGGCCGTTGTTTTAAACAAGGAAACAACAACAACCTTAGAGTCACGATAGTTGTAGCCACCTCTTTGTCGCATGTTACCAACGGATGTTAGGACTTACGTAACTTTTTGCCAACGAATGGGCTTTCCGACTTAAACCACCAAAAGTTATTTTCACTTTTAGCAGGGCTTCGCAGATTTCGCAACCGAGTTCTAGTCGTGATAGTTATAACCACACACCAAAGTCCCTGAAATATGTGGGAGAGAGCACGATCAATGAGCTGCTGCAGGTGGAAGAGGAGAAGCCCTGCACCTCAGTCGGCTCGACTTTCGTGGTCAAAAACGAGGGAAAGACGAGGATATTTGTTCAGCTTGAAAAACTCCAGGCGGGGGTTGGTTTCATTTTTGTTCTTTGCCGGGAGTTTCTTCTTCCTTTTTCTTTTTTTGGGGGGGGGGGCGGAGGGGGTGGGTGGGTGTGGGGTGATTTAAGGGAGACCAACATAAGGTAAGCCAAAATCCAATTGGGTGTGGCTCATGTTTTTTTTTCTTGCGAGCCGGGGTTTCACAAGATTGTGTCTCCTTGTCCATTTACCAGGGCAACCAATTTGGGGACCGATTTTTCAGGCGACCGCCAATTGGTGGCTTTGATTGGTGGTTTGGATTCGTTTTTTTTTTTTTTTCACCCCTCATTCTTGCGGGGAAACGGGCTCAGCCTCTCACCAAACCACCGATCCGAAGCAAGTAGAGGCAAGCTGAACATGTGCCTCTGCCTTCTTCGGGAAACCCTGCTCGCTCGCCGATTGCCCTGATGTAAACCGAGCTCAAGCCATGCATGGATCCTTTAGTTGCCAATTCCTTGTGTCAGGTTTGGGAGAGTGGAAGTGGGTGAGTGACATGTAAGGAATCCCCAAAATTTAGAGGATTCCTAATTTTACTTGGGAAGTCCTTGTATTGTGAAATGTGCAGACACTACGTGTGAGTGAAAGTGGGTCAAATGTCTCAAAGGCCAACGACAGGGATTGGGGGGGTCCATGCATATCTTCGACTTTTTGACGCAGACGTGAGTTGGAGAGTGTCGAACATAAGCAAAACTTGCTGGTGCGACAGGCAGGGAATGATGGAATGAACCTGGCGGTCCCCTTGAAGGAAACCACCAGTTGGATGGTTTGTAAGGGTCATTCCATTTCTCATTCCCTGCTGAGCACCAGCAAGAAAAGGGCATCGCAACCAAAGTTCAACAGCTTTGGATCCTTTGAACCGAAGCAAGTGAAGCAAAGCCAGACAAGTTGACAATCCCTAAATCTCTGCATCCTGTCGCCACTGCTGTCGACCTGAGGCCGCTAGTCACAGGTTTGGGGAAATACCGAACTTTGGCTCCGGGTTTGTTCACTGTGACCGTGTTCTTTTTTGGAAATATTTTTTTGATCGCCGGCCTCTTTTTACTCAGATGTAAGTTGTGCAGGCTGTTTAGAGCTGTGTCAATCGGCGCGACTCGCGGTGTCAATGCAGTTCCACTTTGGCTTCCTCAAGCCACCATTTCCTGAAGGCGTCCAACTCCTGACGCATGAGGGCATCCTAAACTCGGAAGGGTCTTTTTGGTCGATGCGGCGTAAAAGAAGAGGCAAAAGGCATTTGCATTTATTTGTTTTTCGGAGCGAAGGGTTTGGATCCTCCTTGGAACGCCCCACATTCACATTTGGTTTGTCAAAACTGCTGACCCCTTCCGAGTGGTGTTTGTTCTCCTTTGCGCCTCGTCCAGAGGAGGTGCTGGGGGCAGGTAGGCTGAAAGTATGCATCCAAGAACCGCTATGAAGCCATGGGTTTCATTTGCCATTTTGCTGCAAATTACCGGCCTACCAATTCACCTGCCCTTCGGGCCGGGCCTGTCAGAACCCCATGTGGAGAAGCTGGGAGGGTCTTTCTTGGGCCCGTTGAACGGCCGGTTTTGAAAAGAATTATGGTTGAAAATAATGGGGAATCAAGCCCTAGAGCAATGCTCATTTTGTGTCAACTTGGAACAAATTTCCCTCACATGCCGCCTGGGGAAGCAAGTATATAACAAGTTTATGAACATGTTTTGTTGATGGCGCATGCTTTGGATGGACAGCATCCACCAGTTGGTAGGTAATTTAGTTTGTAAGTGCGTCTTTTTGCATCTCGTTCCTGGTTCAGTATGAACAGGGTTGTGGGAATTGCCCACTTCTGTGATACCAGCAGAAGGCCCTCGCAATGACACGTTTTCACTCGACCGGGAGCCTCCCTGGTATCACAGAAGTGGGCATGAACCTCCTCTTATTTTTTGGGCGGGGAACCGGGGAACCCTTTCTCACCAGAAGCGGGGCACCTTTTTCAGCTTGGGTTTAAGGGAAGGGATTTTTTGTGGTATCCCATGAGATTTCTCAAAATGGACCCCTTTTTGGATGGTTTCAAAGGGACACAAAGAACCCAAACCACCGATCGGTCGATCTTTCATATTTGCTTATAATGTTTTATGTTGCCCTGTAAAAGGGACCGATCACCATTGGCAGTTGGTGTGTCTTTTTTGAGGGCATCCATTTTTGTGGTTTTAAAGGGAAGCCAAGATGGGTTCCCCCAAAGAAAGACACACCCAAAGATGCTTACTGGACCCTGAAACTGTCCTTTAACACGGGGTATATCATCATTTTAAGGCCCCATACCCAATTCTCAGGATATTTTGAGGGTCCACCCTTATGGTCTCGATTGGTTTTGGGCCCTCAAGACTGGTTGTTTTCAAGCGCGGCTGCGGATTTGATCGGGGCTCTCCGTCGGAGGGCCCATTAGAGGGGTGTGCATTGGAGGGGTCATGACTCTTTAGCCCTAGGGTTCAACCACCACTTAAATGGTTGACCCAATTTGGATGATGACAATCCTCAGGTAAACAATGATGACCTCTGTGAACCCAAGCATTGTTTAGCATGGCCTGCCTGAACCCATGGGAAGAATTACTCACAATCAACACTGGGAGCGGAAAATTTAAGATCAGCCCCCCACACATTTTACGGAAGATTCATCCGCCCACATCTCCTTTTCTCCCCAAACACCTGCAACCCCTTTCCCGAAAAGCTGAAGATCTCCACCCCGCAGTTTGTTCCTCTTCCCTTGGTGGCGAAGCCAGCCATCCGGTCCCTTAGCTTTTTGGCCTTTCAGTGTTTTGAGCCAGTTTCCGAGTTTCACCCACCAAAGCTTCGTCGAACTTTTCGCGGGGGATCCCAGCAAACGGGCAGCCCAGCTCCATTTCGCGCGCGCTTGAACAGCTTTTTTCGACGGCGTCTCCGCTCGGGGGAAACCGTCGGTGCGAGGCCGAAGAAGGTGGACCCCCGTCTCACCGCCTCGCGGCGCGGCAGCGCCAGCAAGGACTCCGTCGGGGACTCGAGCCTGGACTCGGGCGAACGCGGCGCGGAGGTGTCGTCGGGTAAGGGGAGCGAAGGTCTGGGGTGGTTCTCCTGAAATTGCTTTCCGTTGCAAGCAAATGTGTTTTTTTTGTTGGGGGTTTGTATTTTGAGGGGTTTCGTGGAATTTGCCACTGCAGTAGGTAGTGTTGAATTCCATATTGCCATCAACCAACCAGTTTGTTAGTAGGGGGGTGTCCGTTTCTGGGTGAAATGCGGGGACTCAGACCACTTTTGCAGGGGAACACCCCGCTAATTGACTGGGGTTGATGAAAATATTGGGTCAACATTACTTGGATGTTTGGGCAGGAAGTGGTTCGCTAGAAACAAGGTTACCCCGACCTAGGGGAACTTTGTGGGTTAAAGCCCAGGTTACCCACTACTTGCTTGCTTGGCCGACCACCCAAATAAGCAGCTGCGGGTATCCAAATTTGCCAAAGAGGGAGATCGGAGTTCTGGTTGTATTGGGGACGTGATAGTTTACCCATGGGTGTAGTCCAATCCTGACATGAGGGACTGCACGAAAGCTTTTTGCCCAGACTTTGGGGTCCGTCTTCAGTGTGTCCGTTTCAAATTTCCCTGGTTTTCAAATAACCTGACGGGGGTCCCTTGAAAAGGAAAATGGTGCAAGTCAGAACCCCCCCCGCAAAAGTCAGGTTCCATGTGAATTGGTGGGAGTGTACCAGTGCTGTTTCCAAAGTGACAGGACCTTGGTTTCTTCAAGACTTTGGGTGTCCGTCTTGCGTCCGTTTCAAGACTCCCGCTGGTTTTTTCAAAGGGGTTACTTCGGAGACCGGAGCTGAACTGGCAAGGAGACAGCAGAGATCAACGGGACTCGCACCGAGACTCTCCCTTTTGGCACCCAACCTGAAGCTTAATCCCTCACGGCAACCAAATTTCGATGCTAGAAAAAAGGTAGCGATCAACCACTGTTAGAGCATCTGCCTTATAAGTTTGCTTGACACGTCACGGAACTTGTTTGGCGCCGGATGTTTTTGACACAGTCTTTCCATGACTTCAGTTTGCCGGAGGTACCATGGCTGTGGAAAGCCCCGATTCTTCTGTGAGTTTCTGTGACAATAATCGCAGAGGCTTATGCCAATAAACCACCAGAAGCATCATGGGACCCTCCATTGCAGGTCACCTGCATAAGGCTTTGGACCTCATTGACCTTGAGGTTCCAAGATTCGTGAACAACATTGGCCCAAGGTCTCCTCCGTGAACTCCAACTCGCCAGCGCCTGAGCAAGCGAGAGCCATTGAGGCCCTTTTCAGGGTTCCCTATATTTTCTCTTTTTGGTGGTTTTAAACATCACCTTCTGGGCCCATGAAAGGTGAGTGTCCCTTGGTGGGGGTGATGTTTAAAGGGGAAATATAGGGATCTTCCAGTCGTTTTGGCTTTTCCAGGGGCCTCATGTGGTTGGCGGTTGGCTGGTGTTCTTCCTGCAGTCGTTTTGGCTTTTCCAGAAAACCGCAGGTCAACCCTCTCCTGGCCTTCTGTCCTGGCCTTGTGGCTTGAAGATCTTGAAGCTTGGACGGCTTTCGCAGGACTTGGGGACAACAACTTACCAGATGAATCACAAGATCGGGGTGCACTGGCCACTCTTTCTCTCACAATCCCCACACCCCCCGAACCCTCTCACATCCCCCGCCATCCCTCACCACCCTCACCCGCACCCACCCCCATCCACCCCCAGCACCGCACCCACCCCCATCCACCCACCACCCCACCCACCGAAAGCAGTCGTCAGAAGACAGGTCGAGGCTCTCGGCGAAGCCGGATCTCATGTCTCTGACCATGCCTCAGTGCGGGGGGGGGATGGCGGGCAATCTCCATCGGTGAAGGTACCTGGACCCTCAAACGACCAACTTAAAAATGAGAAGTCGCCCAGAATTGTGTGGCAATACCCCAGTTTTAAGTTGGTAGTTTGAGTTTTTAGGTAATCGGACTCTTCCCATTGAGCGGGTAAAGGGCATGATGAAACCGGCATGGGGAAATGGAGCCATCTGCAATCGCCCAGCTGTAAGGGTCCTATTTGGTCAGATTGAAACATAGAAAGCACTGGTGTTGGTTGTGCTCTAATCATTTAGCAGTGCCACCTTGTTTCTTCTGCACAGGACACCTAGTAGCCAGGGCTTGCATACGTCAAACATGGCTCGTGCTTTGTGTGCATGAGTCTGATTGAGCTGCGAATTTTGAGGCCAAGGACGGCTCTGTAAGCCTTTGGGCCAATCGTTTTTGATTGGCAACTGGTCAAGGGTCAATAAATCGTCTCCACTTTCCATCCGGCTTTTTGGGGAGAAGCCCCAGCATCAACTGGGTGTGTCTGTCTTTTTGGCTTTTACAGGGACACTGCAAGAAATCTCACCTGGAGTTTGCCCTGGTCAACAACCTCCTTTTCTTGGGCTTGGCAGGGCTATCAACGCAGGGACTTTATACAACTGGGTTCTTGACTCATGGCACAAATTGAATGTGTCTCTTGTGGAGTTGAGGTGATACGCCTTTGTGGTGTTCATGTTTACTTCCACATGTTTCCCGGAAGGGAAACTGACAGGAAGCCAACCTGTCGACCTATCGTCAATTTTGAGACATACCATGGGGTGGCTTGTCTTTTTGGTTCTTTAGGTTTGGACCCCCCATTTTGGGCCAACGGTTTTCCTGTTCATTCTCCCAGCACCAAATCAGGGTAAGACACGCCTCCCAACTGGGGGGTATTCAAAGAAGCCCCACCCCCCGCCCCAAATCGGTCCTTTTGCCTCGAAAGCCACGAAAAAGGGCGCCAACTCCCAAGCCTTTGCCCTCATGAAAGATCCTCGAGCCAAACCACTAAAAGTTATTCACTTTTTGCAGGGGAGCAGAAAGCAACCGAGAAGAAAGACCCTGAAACTGTGTTCGTGGTGAGTCTGTGTGTTTCTTTGCCTTAGGCTTCCTGTTCCCACGACTTTGAGGGACCAGGTCTGTGACAGAGATGGCAGTGGCTCAGGGGTATGTGTCAGCCTTCGGTTCTGGGCTGCCTTTTCCCGGTTGGTGCCAAGAAAACACCAAAGGGACACCCATTTCGGGTGTGCAACGTTTCACCCGAACTGAGCAGAGCGATGCAGGCTGAAGATCCTTTCCGATGCGCGCCTGGCCGGCGTCCGGCGCCGAGATCCAGTGGTTCAATTGGTTTTTGTCCCAGGGCCACGTTCCAGGAGCTTCCAAGGGCTGTCAATGAACAAACATCTAGGTCCCCCAGTAGTGCCAACTCTTACCAACTTCTTTGGGGCGGGTTCCCCTGCTAAAGTAGACTACAGAAACAAAAAAACAAAACGCTTATTCTAACCTCTCTACTGGAGGGCCTAGACATGGCACAACTCTGAAAGCACAACCCCCCCCTCTCCTGTCCTTACTTCCCTCCTTTTAGACATGTTGCTAAGACCATCCAGGCCTTTGATATGGATACACCGCCATGCGGGAGTCTCCAACATTGGACATAGGCTACCCAGTTGTTCAGTGGGCTCCAAATCCGAACGGTCAACCCCAACAGGGTTCCAAATCCCGGTCTATAAAAGTCACTCGTCCACGAGGATCAAAAACAGCCAAACGTTTTGTGGTTGTTGTTTTGTGTGAGTCTGATCATTGGAGGCTTTTCTGCGAAAGCCAGAGACGTCGATGTGGGGGTACTTCCAAAATCAACTAGACCCCTTGAAGTGTAACAACTCGTGGCATCTCCATCGTGTTGGATTGAGAGATGTCACGTGCATTCGCATTTGTTGAAACGCATCCCCTAGCGAGCGTCGCCATTTTCGGCCGCATGGCTTCATCCCTTTCAGGACCTAACAACCCAAAGACCCAGGCCTTGGACCTAGGTCTTGGGCCCCGCTGTTCTCAATCTGCTCATTACTATTTCTTGTTGGTCGTATATACAAGCAATCACATTCCAAAGAAGCAGGACAAAACACATACATAGGCAGGATAGAGACACGGAATGACAAACTATGAATGAACATTGTATGCAAGTAGGATTTCACCCTGGTATTTTAGGGTTATCGTCAGGAAGGTAGCCTTGGATACCCTTAGGGTCACCCTGGTACAACACCAACTTGTTAGCTCGGGGGTCGACCCCTGATTCCAGCGCCCAAAATTATGGGCGAGGTGGGCCCGCAGCGGAGCCGCATCCTGGTGGTGCTCCGTGATGCAGGGGCCCCAAAGCTCAAGACCAGTCTGTGACCAGTCCAAGGCGTGGATGGTCTTGTGGGTGGTTGGATTGTTGGTAGGTTACGCATGACAGTAGTTCTCATGTGAGCCACAATCAAAACCTGGGTAATTGGAGGGTAGTAAGGGAGAATCCCAGCCATAATTGCTGCGGCCGCCTTCTTAATTCATTACATGGTTCTGGGTCGACCATTTTTGTGCCAGGTTTTGATTATGACTCATGTGATATGCGCCGTGTTCATAAGGGTGCCATCTATGATCCTGGCTCCTTGGGCCGATTTTTGAGCTTGCGACATGCTGAAGCCAGACCGCGTTTGGCGAAACATCGCGCGGTTCTAATCATCTTAGAGTGCCGCCCTTCGTTCTAGCCCAGGATCGCCAACCCATGCTCAGCAAGTAGCGTCACTGCCAGGCTGATAGTGTTTGTGTAACCCACCGTGAACCAGCAAAACAATGCCTAAGTCACCAGAGATTCGACCCGAAGCGAACCCTCAGCAAACCCCATACCAGCGCGAACTCTCTCCAAACCAGCCCCAAACCCACCCCAAACCAGCACTAAACAATCCCCAAACCACAAGAAAGCAACGCAAAACCCAAAACCACAAAACAACAACCCTAGACAATCCCGAAGCAAACCCTATGCCAACCCTAATCCCGCCAACCAGCCTAAGCCTACCCCAAACCCACCCTTCACCAACACTAAGCCTACCCCAAACCAACTATTAACCCACCATACACACACGACCCTAAGCCCATCTTAAACCAGCACTAAACCAACCCTCAACCCTAATCCAACTGCACGTCCACCCTAATATCAAACCCAAGCCCCGCCCAAACCCACCCTAATCCCAGAACTCACCTCCCTAAACTGAGTCTAAACCAAAACAAAGCTTCTGGTGATGCTGGGAGTGTTGAGAATGTGCTGGTGATGTTGGCGGTGCTGGTGTAAAAAGATGTCAGCAATTGCTGCAAACCAAAACAACAACGTCATTCTCGCGCCTGCCGAACCTTAGAAACAAAACACCCGCCGAGCCTAGGCAACAAACAAGCCTGAACCGCCAACCGGGTTGGATGGTCCCTTGTCAGTTTGCGGTTCCCCATACATCGACTTGGCTTCAGATCTGCAGACCCGGATTGTTTTTTGTTCGCCACAAGGCAGGGGTTGAGACCAGCCAATTGTCCCATGTGGGTATGGGGGGCCAGGGCTCTCCATTTTGGGGATTCCTATTTTTGACCTGTGATGCCTCCATTGCAGGGGCCCAGACCTTGGAAGGTCTTGGACCTCCAAACGGATGCCCTGTTGACTTGCTGGTGCGATCGGCAGGGGAATGTGGGAATGACTCCCCTATAAACCATCCCTCAAAAATAGTCCATTTGCTGAAATGAATATTTTTTATTTTTTCCTATTAATTTTAAAGAAATTCAATTTCACTACTGGAAATATGTTTTGATATTTTTTCCAGGGATCTTAACCAAATGGAAGCAATCCCCAGGTTCTGTCCCTCGTTCCCCGCCTATCGCACCGGCCAAGTGGAGGACCCGTTCCGAGGTGTCGAGCAGCTCCCAGACCGCCGCTATGCAGTCCTACCTGGAGGCAAGCGTGGCAATCGGAGGGGGCCGTAGGGTGGGTTTTTAGGTAACTTGGGTTTTAGGTAACTTGGGCTAGAACCAGATGGGTTCGCTGGTTTTGGTTGCCTTACGTTCCATTTACCAGGGCCATCTACTTTTTCCAACAGGTCACCTATGGCTACCCCCTCCCCTGGCCAGCCAGAAAACTCCTTCAGGGGCCGAAGCGGCGGAAACTTGCACCAAGAAGGAAAAAGCACATGTGATTGTTGTTCGCATCCGAAAGGAACCATTAGAAAGCCAATGAGGGGGTAACCGCATTGGCTGATTTCTGTGATACCAAGGCGTCTTGACCCACTTATCACAGATTTCTGATGATTTCCCGCCATTTCCGCGCCCATTGGAGGGTTTTGTTACTTGATCCCAGGCAAGGAGGATACGGAACATGTTGAGGCCTAGGACCATAGGCCATGCAAAAGGAGCAAAGGTAGATTTTGAGGGCTAGATACGAACCCCGGGATTCCAATATTCCAAGTGCCATTGAAGCACTGGCGGATAATATAACCACTGTCGTTTGTGTGTTCCGGAGGCGTTTTGTCAGGTCAACGCTGATTTTTATGAGCCTTGGCATCTTGCAAGGTGTTTCTTGGGTTTAGTCTCGATCGCGCAATTGAAAGGTTGGTTCTCCGTTTTCATCCATCACTCTTGTGTCGGTTGCACGTTGACACATCGGAAGCTGTCCGCTGCAAACATGCTTTGTTGTTTTTTTCCTGGGACGCGACCTTTGGTTTTAGCAAGCCGAATGATGTCGAACTCAACCCAGCCTGTTATGGGCATTGATGAACCGCCACCAGACACGGACCTCTGAAGGATGGACCCCGCAATTTCGGTGCCTTCTTTCAGGGCGATGGACGTTGGGGGCCCTAGGTTTCGGACAGCCATACTGAACCAATTCCAGACGTACGCTCAGCCCCACTAACAGTATGGCAAGGACCCAATTTTGATGAAACTCCTGAACGGTGCACAATGGTGGTCCGATTGTTTGGATGGTTGGTGTGTTTGAATCCCAGGATGACCATGGCCACTAGTTTGTTGTTGCCTGGAAACTTCCCAGTTCTTTGCTTAGTAGCGGCTTCCAAACAGCACCTAGTGTCATGGGCTCAAACGCTTATTGTTTCCTATGTTTGTCTTGCTCTTCTTGTGTTGTTTGTCTATGTAATCATCGTCGTCCACATTGTGATTGTCATCCTCATCATCCTCATCATCATCACCATGATCATCATGCTCATCATCATCATCATCATCATCATCATCATCATCATCATTATCATCATCATCATAATGTTCTTCTTCTGCTTCTTCTTCTTCTTAAGCGAGTGTCCATGAGAGATTGATTTCGTCTTGGATGAACTATTGCTTGGCAGTTAATGGTCACGTATTCTTGGCTAAAAGCAGTTTATTTGTAAAGTTACTAATATATATATATATATATAGATTTTTCCTTTGATTCGGGGCGTCGAATTGAATCGGGGCGTCGTTGCGAGGCAGTAACAGGGGTTTATTTCAAAGGCATTTCACAGGTGTAAGGACTGGGTCAAACTTCCAAAAACATGGACTGTTGGAGGGGGTAGTTTGCTCACCCCAAGCCACACGCGGCCACCTTCACGTACCCGTTGTAAACCCTGGGAGTACCCATTTTAAACCTTAAGGGTACCTGAGTCTGTTGCGGGTACTCCGCCCGACGCCCGCTGCGCTACGAGGCATCCATCGCGGTCCGGCCAGGGCTCGGCTTTTGCTTTCCGCACGAGTCTCTCCATCGGAAGAGTTTTAACGTTTGGCCCATTGAAGGGCTTACCTTCAGAAAAAAAACGCTCAGAAGGGAAACTCGCGTTGGCAACTTACGCAGCTTATGTGTTTAAAATATACGCTTCTAAGCCTCACGTTTTGGCAGAACATGAGCTACCAGTAAAAAGGTTCGTACTAGGGCTACGCGTTGGAGTTGACTTGGGTGAAAGACACGAGAAACGAAGGTGGCCATGCTAGTAAGAAACATAAGTACAAGTAAAAGGCGAGAGAATGATAACCCGGTCCAAACGGATCTTTGCACATCTTCAATACTGTGTAAAGGACCTTGGAAAGGTCCTGAGGCTTATCACGAACGGGCATGATTTTAGATAAGTGACTGACCCACCGAGATTCACCAGAAACGCAATGGCCAAGCATGTGTAAGCTAAATTGCCCACACCCATTTCTGATAGACTTAGGGTTGAGTACGGGGCGAACTTGTTACACGTCGAAATTTGTGACGGTTCGCCGCGATACGTTTTTCTGATGAACCTCGATGAGGTTCATCGGGAAATCTGGAACGGAAATGACTTGGGATCAACTGTCCAGGACACACCCGCTTAGGGGGCTTTCCTGTTTTGACACATTCCCATCTCTGATGTATAGACTTAGGGTTGAAAACGGGGCGGACCTGTTATACTTCTAACGGTCCGCCGCGACAGTTGTCCCTCACAATTTCTGACTTCTCCACAGCAACGCTTTTGAGATGAGCCTCAGTGAGCCTCATCTGAAACCCATGCGGCAATCCCTGACCCCTCCGGCATGGGTTTCAGATGAGGCTCACTAAGGCTCATCTCAAAAGCGTTGCTGTGGAGAAGTCAGAAATTGTGAGGGACAACTGTCGCGGCGGACCGTTAGAAGTATAACAGGTCCGCCCCGTTTTCAACCCTAAGTCTATATATCAGAGATGGGAATGTGTCAAAACAGGAAAGCCCCCTAAGCGGGTGTGTCCTGGACAGTTGATCCCAAGTCATTTCCGTTCCAGATTTCCCGATGAACCTCATCGAGGTTCATCAGAAAAACGAAGAGCGGCGAACCGTCACAAATTTCGACGTGTAACAAGTTCGCCCCGTACTCAACCCTAAGTCTATCAGAAATGGGTGTGGGCAATTTAGCTTACACATGCTTGGCCACTGCGTTTCTGGAGAATCTCGGTGGGTCAGTTACTTATCTAAAATCATGCCCGTTCGTGATAAGCCTCAGGACCTTTCCAAGGTCCTTTACACAGTATTGAAGATGTGCAAAGATCCGTTTGGACCGGGTTATCATTCTCTCGCCTTTTACTTGTACTTATGTTTCTTACTAGCATGGCCACCTTCGTTTCTCGTGTCTTTCACCCAAGTCAACTCCAACGCGTAGCCCTAGTACGAACCTTTTTACTGGTAGCTCATGTTCTGCCAAAACGTGAGGCTTAGAAGCGTATATTTTAAACACATAAGCTGCGTAAGTTGCCAACGCGAGTTTCCCTTCTGAGCGTTTTTTTTCTGAAGGTAAGCCCTTCAATGGGCCAAACGTTAAAGCTCTTCCGATGGAGAGACTCGTGCGGAAAGCAAAAGCCGAGCCCTGGCCGGACCGCGATGGATGCCTCGTAGCGCAGCGGGCGTCGGGCGGAGTACCCGCAACAGACTCAGGTACCCTTAAGGTTTAAAATGGGTACACCCAGGGTTTACAACGGGTACGTGAAGGTGGCCGCGTGTGGCTTGGGGTGAGCAAACTACCCCCTCCAACAGTCCATGTTTTTGGAAGTTTGACCCAGTCCTTACACCTGTGAAATGCCTTTGAAATAAACCCCTGTTACTGCCTCGCAACGACGCCCCGATTCAATTCGACGCCCCGAATCAAAGCAAAAATCTTTATATATATATATATGGTCCCCCCCCCCAGGGCCTACCTTTCCTCTCTTCTAGTTGAAGGTGTCAAGTCTACTCCGTGTGCCTCATTCTTGCAGATGCCCGAAAGCACAGTAAAATACAGTGTTTTTGGTGGTGTTTTACCTTCTGTATGACTGCACATGTGTGCTTTGTTAAAGCTAACAAAGTGAAAACGGAATCCGTTTTCGATTCGAGTCTGACTTTGCTTGAAAACAAGGGGGTGGCCAAGACACGACAAGAAGAAACAACAAGCATCTAGGAAAAACACTTGCAAATAGAATTGTTGTTTTTGTGCGACTTAGCCGTAGTCCACAAAGATATTCTCGCAGTCCACGATCTTGTGGGGAGGCCAAGAGGAACCTCCTCCAAGCCACGAGAGATGGCCCACGGATTTTCTGTTTCACATTGCCAGCTTCTTGCTGGCCACTCTTCTCGCTGCCGCCATGGACTTGGTTGCAACGTTTCACAGGCTATATGGGCAGCACTGTGACCCGTGCGAAGTGGCAGGCGTTGCGCTGGTGCGCCGAATGAGGCAGTGCTGTGGCGCTTCCGGCAGCTGGCGCACCGGGTGCACCCAGACAAGACAAGGAGGAGGGGAAGGAGCGCTTTCCAGCGCGCTTTCCAGCTCTTGGCTTATCGTCAATCCTAGGACGAGGAGGCACCTACTTCAAAGAGACGTGCCTATGCAGCGTGCCCCGTCTTTGTGGTGGAGCTCAGCTTGAACACCTTCTTATCCTGGCCCCAGTGCCAGTCAGCCTGACCCAATTAACCGGCTTATCCTGGCCTCAGTGCCAGCCGCGCCGCCTCCCCACCGGCCCAAGGTCACCTGACTTCAGGCGAATTTCACCAGCTACAACCGCGAATCTGGCTTTCCAGCTGCAAAGGGAGCGCGGGCCGGAGGGAGGGGCTGGGCTGGCTGGCATTGGCTGCCCACAAACTTGGTCCAGGCAGGAGGTGGGCGCGGGCTTGGCACCAGGCGCTGTGACAGGGAGTGCGGGTTGCAGGAGCTGGTGTTTGGAGGAGCTGGAGTGTGGGGTCCTGGTGCCCCGTCCGCCCAGGACCAATTCCGCCCGGGCTCCGTGGGAGCAGAGAGAGGAATGAGAGGAAGGAGCAGAGAAGCAAAGACTTCAAGCGCTCCTTCCATGCGCTTTACCAGGAATAGGAGACAGCCAGCCCAACACATAGCAATGGCACCAGGCCGCCCTGGCACATGTCGCGCCTTTTCTTTTCAATCCTTCAAGGACTCTTCAAGCCAAGAACAAGGAAAAAGCAGAAGACCTCGAGCTCAAGAAGCAGAACAAGAAGCCTCCGTAGAAGTAGTTCAAGCCCACGCCCACACTCCCACACTACTGTGATGGCTTCTCGTGCTTATACGCGGCATTTTCGTCCTTCTTCTCAAGCCCACGCCCGCACCGTCATGAGTCTCGGCGCTTCTCCATCGCCGCCAACAAGCCGAAGCAGGACCAAGCCGGTGTCGCCGAGGAGGAGACGACGCTGATCCGAGAACCAACTCCATAAGCAGGGGGCCGACCAGAAAATCAAGGCTTGGAAGCATTCGATTTGCACACACCAACTTGAAGCATTTGGAAGCGTTTGCTTTCATTGCGGCGGCTGCAGATTCTATGCAGCTTCAAACTGGGACTCTCATTGACATATTGAAATCTTTGGTAGGAAGGCGTCATAGACGATCTGTCGAAAACGTTCATCCGTGCCTTTTTCAAGCGCGAAATCGCCACCGGTGATGCGACGCCAGATGGAAAGCTGCTGTTTGCGACAATGCGACCTTCGTCGGACGTTTACGCATGTGGCTTTCGAATCTGGACAAATGGACAATTCGATTGAAATAATGTCTAAGTACGAAGCGCAGGCTTTGTTCGACGAGCTCAAGGAAGCTGCTATCGAGCATGCAAAATTCGTCATCGGCATGTTCCCCACGAAACGGGCGTTCTTTGACCCGTATGGTCAAATTGTCTACTTGAATGTGGACGAGTCGGAACACAAACTTGAGGACACTGCGATTTATTTTTTTCAAACAGAAGCATGCGCCTACCGAACTTGATAACGCCTCGTTCAAGTCTCGAGAGTGGCGCTTGTGTTTCCATGAATGGCGCAACCATCTCGCGGAACGAAGCGAAGACCTTCCTGACGATGTAGCAGTCTGCCCACAATGGGCTTTGAGACGCTCTCAAGAGCAGTGTCGGTCATCCACGCACGCAAAGAAGAGTCGGCGCCCACTTCTGGAAAGCGCGACCCAGCCGTTTATGTGCAGCCCGCTTCCTCTTCATGTGACGCAGAAATGTTTGGCAACAAGCCTTCTCCTTCAGGGAAGGACATTGAGAAACTTTCTTATAGTGCTCTCATCAAACGGAAGGTAGAGTTCGAAAAAATGGCTTCAAGAAAGGTGCGCAGAGGTAGTCCCGCGTACTCCTCCAACCCTGATGGTTTCTTTGAGGAGGCTGCGTTGAGCGCTCTAGTCGTTTGCCAGCACCTCCCTTGAATGTTTTGTGCTGCAATTTCCCGCTGGATGTGGTAAGGGCGAATGCCTTTTCTACGTTGAGTCTCTCTGATAATGTCTTGAATGTGTTGCGAACCAAATTCTTGACTATCGCCACTCGCCTCTGCCTTTCTTATCCTCTCCCATTTCTCACAGTTTTACGGGCGCAATGTGTGAAAAGTGCGTCTTTGCGATCAGCAGTCTCGAATTGCTCTGATCATGTTGGCACTCATCATGGTAGCTGTGTGCAGTGTTATCAAATTGATCAGCCAGACTTGTGTTCTGACAGGAAGTTTGCATTTCAATCAACTTGTAAGCGAATGTTGCTGCAGATGTTTTTCACGACTGTGATCACTGCTATGTTACGATTTGTTTCATGTCTGCCTTCAGCTCGCAGAGCATCTATATATTTATATATCTACGGCCTTTTGATTTCTGCCCTGGTTGGCAAAACTGCAGGAGCATGGAAAATAATCGAACCCAACGGGGCAGCAACGGCACCCCCGCACACACGCCCTGCACACACGTGGAGGCCCTAAGATGCAAGGCTGCGTAAGCCCAGTGCGAAAAGTTACGGCTCCAGCAACAAAAGCATAACACAAAGTCTTGGTCGCCTACAAAAGAGGCAAGTGGAAGCAGTGGAACAAAATCGGGCCAAATAAGCCTGAATGACTTGGTCTGCAGGGGCCTTGGAGAAGTCTGAAGAACTTGGATCTCTCACAACGCATGGGTGGTCAAGCCAAGCTCACTCACGCAAGACGCAAGACTGAAAATTTCTAGGGTATGACAAGAGTAAGATGCTGATTTTTTAAACATTTGAAGATTAATCCATTTTCAAGAGTCTTCAATGTTAAACATTTGGGGCCGCCGGCAGTTTGTGTACCAGGGCAGTATTCACCAGCCTCGCAGTTTAAGATTGTCAGCTTCGCATTTGGTGAGCTTCTGATATTTGAACCATATGTTGCGTGTTTATTTCAGGTGTTTTCTGAGCCAGCAGCTGCGTATTGCACAGCATCCTTGGCTGTGCTCAGTACTGGACCTGACAATAGTTTCTAGTCGTGGGCCTGTGGCGGCGTCGTGGCCTTTGTTGTGGTTTCGTCGCAGCCCCGTCGGCGTCCGTCGTGGGCCCGTCGCGACCTGCGTCATGAAACTCTGCGCTGTTGTTACTCAACATGACTTGTCGTCCACACAAAATATGCAACAACAGCACACTTCTTGCGTATATGTGTGAGCCCCTGTGTTAAACAAATAAGAAGATTTTGTACAGTTTGAAGTGGAAAGGTGGACCCTGCGGCGGGGGGGGAGCATATATATATATATATATATATCTATAAGTAACTAAATACATTCAGAAATAATAATAAATAGATACATAAATAAATAAATGCACGAATAAATCAATAAATAAATGTATTGGTCTATGCCCCCCACCGCAAATATATCTATATATATATATGTATGTATATATATATATATACACATACACACACACACATAAATTTGGGTTCCCCCCAAACAACACACACACACCAGTTACCAAAAAATCCGATGGTGGGCGGGGGGCGGGGCCCTGCCTGCCTCAGGGGATTCCGGGCGCCTCGGTGGTGACCTTGGAGCGGCTGCAGGGCCTGCCGACGCCTTTGCGGCAGCGGCCCCTGCCGCAGCCCCGGCGCTAGGAACCCTCCGCGACCCATCCCGGGCGGTTTCGGAGGTGACACCCCACCTGTT